TCTGCCGCATTCATTATAGCGAGTCGCACAGTATAAGCAAGAACTAAATTCAAACAAACTACTGCATTCGAACTATCGAAATTGTTACAATAATTCTTTGCTTCTTCTGATGCGAATCAACATTGATACGAAACGTCATAAAAATAGTGGAGACTATTGCGTCAAGTCACAAAAATAACTCAGTCTGATTTTCTAATTAAATAACATTAAACAGTTTCTGAACAAGAACGAAGTAACTACTCCTACTAGAAGTCGTTCGTAAAGCCTATGATAAGTAAAAACGTTTCTATTCTGAACTATTGGAACTCTCAGCTTATTTTCAAATGCAAATCAACATGAATATCTAGGTCTTAACAAAAGTGGAGACTATTACATTGAACTCAATCTCATTTTCTAATTTTAACGATTATTAACTGTTCAGGGATCCGAAATAATAACTTAACAATTACGAAGACGTCTAGAGTCTGGCGGTCTTCAGACAATGCAGAGCCACCCGCCCTCCCGGGCAGTAAATCCCTCGCGGTTCATTTCCAACCATTCCTCGCACAACTCCCACTGTACCATATCGTCCGGGCATGGAACAATAGCAAAATAAATTGATGTTACAATTTTGTCTCTTATTAGAGTGGTCTAGTAAGAGGACGGGAACGTCAGTTGACAATGTCGCGCGCAGCAAAAATACCGCAAAGAAACTGGTCGAGAACGTCGCCCCGTTGTGTCTCAGAAGTGACTTAGCAGTCGTTACAGCGGACCGTCAAAGTTATATTTGTTCTTGAATATCCTAACCTCGGCTCTTTCAAGATCAACATCACCTTTGAATTTTCGGTTTCATTGACCACTTGAAGGACAACAAAATTATCCTCTTTGAGAGTTATGTAACAAGTGCAAACAGAGGATAGTTATAGATACTGCAAGTCAGTTGTTAATATGAATCCACATGGGGATTAAGCTTTGAAATTATTCCATTCCAGTTAATCCTCGAGTCTACTAATTTATCTATCAAATTTTGAAGCCCACTGAATATTTTTTTCCATGATTTGTGTCGTCGTCATTTTGTTTCGTGCTATTAGATTTCAGCACTTCTCGTTTTTCTTCATAATTTTGAAAAGTATAATTTGGAATTGAAATTGTCGTCGTTTTTCCCCTTGTTTATTTATATATATATATCTTTTAACGAATAAAGTCGTTTAAGACTGAATCAAATTAATACTGAGATTTAAAAAGCCGTGCCGAAATCAAACTGATTGTCATTTTCTTTTGCAGCGAGAGCATGATTTTCTTATCTCAGTTTTCACCAAGAATTTAAGACATAAAAAAGTGCAAACCCAAGCTATTCCCAGATTTTTATCTCTGGATTCAATTCGTCGAACATTATTTCATCACTATAAGGATGACAGTGACAACAAATAACACCGAATAATACGGGAAATAAGCTTAGTGATATTTCATTTTGATAAACTTTATCATGAAGCAAGCTTATTGATGAATTAATTCACGGTAAAATTAAGAGCATCCCATTCTTAGAGTTTTTATTCAAGAAATGTATCAAAGAAAAGCTTAAAAGTGAACTGAGCCCTGAAATCTTGGATCCGGCACTTGCTATCGATTGTGTTTAAGCTGGATTTGGGAATCCAGCATAAACACGATCGATTGGGGAGAACGGCAACGCCAACACTGGAAGTCGAAATATAGTCATGTGCAGACTATCCGCGCGCTTTCCCGTTCTGAAATGATGTTCCCGTCCTCTTGCTAAATCAGTCTATTGAATGTAGCGGTTTTCGACTGTCGCGGAAAAGGCTCGAAACGACCTTTCTCCAAACATTAAACTAAATGCTTGCGCATTTTCCCTTGGTCAAAAGAAACATCCTACAGGTCATTTCCAGCAGCCAGTTCGCATGCATTGACGATACGCACGTTTTGAATTTAACAACATACTGTAGTACGAACTGGAGCGTAAAGTTTTAGCTATTTCTACTAGAACGTTAAGGATGATGTTTTCACTCAGTTTTGTTTGGGGGTCCAAATTCGCAGAGGGGGTCCATATTCGTTAGCGGTTTAGGGCCGGGGAGGCCGTATCCGCTACCGGATCTGGACCGGGGGTCCAAATCTAAGAGGGGGGTCCAAATCCGCTAGGACACCGTGAAATCACATTCGAGCTTACACTTGCAGCTGTAAAGGCATTCCTTAGTGATATCATAAGCTCGATGAATCATATAAAAAAAAATTCCTAAGAACAAAATGAAATAGTAAAAACTACGCGCCACTATACATGTAGTTACTCGGAGAAATTACATGTCTAATGACTGTCACACAATCTTAACTAAAGCATTTCCCTGTCCCTTTAATGTAGATCAGAAACGACTGCTGAAAGTAAAACGGTTGGTCTGAATACAGACTCTTGCCAAAGTATGAAATTCAAATAAAGTAACCTTTTAGTGCGCATCAATTCATACTTCATGTATCGACTTACCCTTCACACGATCTTCTCGACAACAGTGCTTCAAACGAAATAATTACGCCCAGGGCACGTAATGAGGCTAAGCAACCGTCCTGAAAAGAGAAAAAGGTAGCTAATGTATCAAATATATGTTCAACATACGCTTACCTCCAAAGGCTCGTGTTAAAATTTTCATAATTATACACATTTACGCGTGTGAAATACCGTACGTCAACAACCGATTACTGAAGTTTAAGTTACAGATTGAATAACTTTAATTTTCTGTATGTACCTGCGCTTTCTTCGGGTCAAATCTTCACATGGAGAGTGATGTTAGTTTAAACCAATTCGTTTCCCTGTTTCCTGATCTTCCGACAGGAATGATGCGTTCGTCTTCTTATATTTTCAAAATTTTGAAGGGCCGGAATCCTTCCCTTCCCCCCCCCACCACTCTTAAAAACCCGGCCACGCTCGTAGTTGTGACTTAACCCCAATCAAAACTTCCTTTCTTCTCATAAGCCTTTACGTCTGTTCTTTTGACGTTTCCATCGTCGACCCGTCCAAAGACCGGCTGGGCCAGCAAGATTGATTGTGAGTGGCGGTTTTCCAAAGGTCACTGTTATTCCTGTGACTTATCTGCGATGCTATGAGCCGGTGTGGGGTCTTTCTTATATAACTGTCATAAAAGAACAAAAGGTCGTTTGCTGGTAGTCGATTTATTGCAAACACTATAATATTGAACGTTTCAGCGAAAGGAAAATTTAAAAGAATAGATTTTAAGAGCTAATGTCAGCATGCATCAGAGAAACAGCGTTATCCGAGTTGCGTGACCTCATGTAACGAATATACTAGACCTATGGTATTTCTGTCAACATAATACTTTGTTTTATCATCTAAACTTAATCCCCTGTCATTATTGAAGCTGGCAAAGAAAATTTTTTGGTGAATATTTTTGTCCGACATACTTTTCCTGTGTCGAAAAGTAGCATCAAACAACGACAGTTTTAACAATGACCGATATGACAGAATCTCTGAGCTTCAAGCTTTTAAAAGACAAACAGACGGTTATAAAATTACTGTGTATTTGTGTTGTTCTATCTTGAGACGAACTCAAAGTCCGGCAAAGTTTACTTGATAGCGACTATGAAACATACATGGTGTGCCTTCTTGTCGCCGCCGTTAACTGGCATAAATCATTACAATTCAAAAAAAAAATCTAACATAGCACTCTTATTTATGATTTTATTAGCTGTCTCAATGATCACGTTAATTATGCTCTACCACATTCAAGCCAAATTGGGGTTCCGGTTTATATATATTCTCTATCTTATTATATCAGTTGCATGACAAGCGTGACACAGAAATTCAAAGATGAATCAACCTCCGAAATATCAAGAGATTTTTTTTCCCTCTTTGCACGACATCTAGCAAAACCTTTCAGGAATTACTGCATTCAGAAAACTAGCTTACAATTAAAATGGTCAGTTACCATACAAAAATGAGAATACTAAACGAGGCTTGAAAGAAATTAAGAACGATTGTGATCAAGAGACAGGCAAGAAATATTCCACAATAGTGCAAATAATCGCGAAAGATGATCGCGGAAAAGCACTTGCGTGACGCTCGGTAAGTTGTAAGATGCCATGTTATCACGTATCAGACGAAAAAACAGTACAAATTCTCAGTCTACATTTTGTACCCGGTCTGTGGTCCGTATTCTGCATTTTGCACAGGACACGAAGCCATCCAAGCGCTTGATACGGCTGGACACGGTCCTCAAATAACTCCATATTTCTCTTTGAAATATACTAATTTTTCATTGGAAAATATTCTACCTTCATTTACAATCCTCACGCGCTTCTAAAAAGTGAAAAAATGCCAACGTTGTCCGTTTCGCTGGCCTTGTACACAGAGTGCGAAGAGATCCAAGCGTGACACTAAGAAAATTTTCACCAGACACTACCGGACACGGTCTTTAAATAACTAGACGTCCGGCAGTCTGATATTTTTCCATATTTCTCTTTGGAAAATACCAGTTTCTATGGGAAGTATTTTGTCTTCATTTAGAATCCTCAAGCGCTTCTAAAGAGTGAAAAAAATTTGAATATTGTCCTTTTCGCCGACTCTTCATAGAGTACGTGTTCAGGGTGGCTCTTGAGAAAGACGATTTTAGAAGGTTTTAGTAATCTGGGAATTCCGTGTTACAGGAAATTGGGTCGCGTCAAGGTTGAAAGGCGTTGCATCAAGGTTGAAAATGGGCCTTTAACTTGTAACTGTAGGATAAAAAGAGGCTCCGAAAACAACAGTGAAATAAGCAAATTCTCCCAGAGTACCATTTTTTTATTATGATAGATTAAGTATGCATCATTGCAACAAGATTTCTTTTCCAGATTGCAGGAAAATGCGTTTCTGGGAGACTTATCTTTTAAAAAATTTCCCGGGGGAGCATGCCCCCGGACCCCCCTAGAGGTTCGGGCCTTCGGCCCTCAATTTTCAAGGGAACCTGCCTACTTTAAAGGCAGTGCCCTTTTACTTCAAAGTTGTTTAAGTTAGCGTCTTGTTGACTTCTGATTGCCTCAGCAATACATGTAGGACCCGCCGCACCAATAACATTGTCAGACAAATACAAATTGGTTAGCGTCTTGTTCACTTTGATTGCCTCAGCAATACATGTAGCACCCGCAGCACTAATATCATTACCTCGCAAATACAAATTGGTTAGCGTCTTGTTGACTTCGATTGCCTCAGCAATACATGTAGCACCCGCAGCACTAATTTCATTGTCAGACAAATCCAAATCGGTTAGCGTCTTGTTCACTTTGATTGCCTCAGCAATACATGTAGCACCCGCAGCACTAATATCATTACCTCGCAAATACAAATTGGTTAGCGTCTTGTTCACTTTGATTGCCTCAGCAATACATGTAGCACCCGCATCACTAATACCATTATGTCGCAAATACAAATTGGTTAGCGTCTTGTTCACTTTGATTGCCTCAGCAATACATGTAGCACCCGCAGCACTAATACCATTCCCAGACAAATCCAAATTGGTTAGCGTCTTGTTCACTTTGATTGCCTCAGCAATACATGTAGCACCCGCATCACTAATACCATTATGTCGCAAATACAAATTGGTTAGCGTCTTGTTCACTTTGATTGCCTCAGCAATACATGTAGCACCCGCAGCACTAATACCATTCCCAGACAAATCCAAATTGGTTAGCGTCTTGTTCACTTTGATTGCCTCAGCAATACATGTAGCACCCGCAGCACTAATACCATTATGTCGCAAATACAAATTGGTTAGCGTCTTGTTCACTTTGATTGCCTCAGCAATACATGTAGCACCCGCAGCACTAATACCATTCCCAGACAAATCCAAATTGGTTAGCGTCTTGTTCACTTTGATTGCCTCAGCAATACATGTAGCACCCGCAGCACTAATACCATTCCCAGACAAATCCAAATCGGTTAGCGTCTTGTTCACTTTGATTGCCTCAGCAATACATGTAGCACCCGCAGCACTAATATCATTCCCAGACAAATCCAAATCGGTTAGCGTCTTGTTCACTTTGATTGCCTCAGCAATACATGTAGCACCCGCAGCACTAATATCATTACCTCGCAAATACAAATTGGTTAGCGTCTTGTTCACTTTGATTGCCTCAGCAATACATGTAGCACCCGCAGCACTAATAAAATTGTAAGACAAATCCAAATTGGTCAGATTCAAATCAGTTCCAAACGACTTCGATAAATGCGAGTGAAAATCACTTTTTTCTCTTTTGCATTCGTTGATGGCCTCCAATACAATTTTTGCACCACGGCTTTCATTTTTGTTGACTTTATTTGTTAAACTCTTTACAAGAGCCACAACCTGTTCATCGCATTTCATGGCCAAAATTCCACACGAAAACAAAAGTATTTGTTTAAGTTCAATGAAATACCTTGCGGAAACTAGTTCTTCAGGTTTCATTTCCTTGCTTTGAATCTGAGAACAAATGAAGAATGCTGCAAAGAATTCTTGAAAACTTTTATGTAAGAAGGCATAATGCAGTGTTTGTCTCAGTTTGCTGCCACCAGGCTGCACTGACAGAAATCCAAATTCAGTCAGGTCTTTTGCATGGTTTCTCAATTCACTTTCATTAAAATCCAACTTATCGTCAAGTAAACCATTCAACGCTACCTTTCCAAGGTGATTCAATTGCGGTTTGTAATGGTTTGTCAAGTCTTCGATCTTTTCTAGTAGTCCCTTCCTTTTTCTATATCTTCTCAAAACACATTCAACCATATCCAAGTACAGTTGAGCTCTGCTTTCGGGGAGTGTGCCCTCAAACTCTTCGCATAAAAGGCAAAGAAGTGCTGTGTTGAGAGGATTGGCCGCTATTTCTCTCAGGTTTTTATCTCGCGACATCCGTTGCGAGAGCTTGGTGGCTAAATCCGTCCTTTCTTTAAAGTACTTGGTGACAAATCCTTTCACATGCTCTTCAGTAAATCCTTCGATCTGAAGCAGCACGTCACAACATTTTCTCACCTCTTTTCCAGCTTCGTGTCTTGCTGTTGCAACTATGTGGCATTTGGGGAGCACTCTTCCTTCAATTAATTCGGAAAACATCGACAATTTACTGGACGGTAACTCATCCAATCCATCCAATATCAATAAAATGCTGGACTGATTTTCACGAATAAAATGAAAGAATTGTTGTTTGACTTCTTCATCGATGTCTCGGGGCAGAAGCTGATCATCAATAGCTTCCCAAACGTCAGAATGGATATCTCGACATTTCAGTAACAATACCACTTTAAATGCTGTTGAGCCGCAGCCCCGAGGTTCTTGCTGTTTTGTGGCCCAGTCGTAGGCGTACTTTTTACAATAGGTGGTTTTTCCCATACCAGGTTCTCCTTCAATCAACACTGTTCTCGGCGCTGAACACTCTTCATACGGGTCTAGTATTGACGACATGTCAACAAATACGTCAGTGATTACTCCTCTCGTTTTCTTTCTTCTGACCACTTTGAGCCTTGTAAAAATATTGCCAAGAAAAAACTGAAACTCTTCACACCATGGAAATGGTGAGAGCCATCCCTCGCGAGTCTTGTACAGCTGGCGAATTCCATTGATAAGCTCAGTTGGATCAAAAATACCTAGCAGTAGCAAAATAAGTAAGAAATCTAATGAATGCAGCATTAAAAATTGTGGTGCCTCTCTGGTATTCGGCACTGGATTTAAATAAGTGAATGAGCACGATACCGTTGCCAAAGAAATTACTTGGACGATGCAAAAAGCTTTTAGTGTATGATTCATGCTTACTGATTAAAAGCCATTTAGATTATGAATTCAGGTAAACCTACTCTGTTTGTTCGGCTGACAGTGAAACTCTGTCGTAAAATAAATTACTCGGGAGATAAATATTCATATCATTGGAGCCGTAGTCTGAGAAAGGCTTTTTTCGGGATTTACCGAGACTACGAACAAATAAATGGAAACAAAACAACGCCTTTGTGCCTTCTTTGTCACGCGGTTTCATCAAAAAAGCTGCAGAAAACCGGGGGCTCGCCTGCGATGAAGTGGGAGGTTTTTCCTATAGTCTTTTCCTTAGGAACCTATTTTACTCAAGACGATCCTCATTCAACTATTTTCCCATGTAGAATTGAATACTCCACAATATGAGCGTAGGAAGGGTTTAGTTATTTTATTCAGAAATATGCGGATTACATCTAATGCTACTAGGAATTCGGCACTGAATTTAAATTAGCGAACGAGTACGACACCACTGCCAAAGAAATTACTTGGACGATGAAAAAGGTATCAATGTATGATTCATGTCAATTTACTGACCAAAAGCTATTTGGCTTGTAAATGCAGTGGAACGTGCTCTGTTAATTTCTAACATCGAGCCAATGTTAATGCCAATGTTTTCGTTAAAACTGTACTTCGTTTTATTTCGTTCTCCACTCTAATCAAAATATAAAGTTTTCCAGGCTAATTACGGGTGAAAGTTTGAACAATTGGAGGGAATGAAAGCACACCGTAGAGATTACTCCAGAGATTGTCTAAATTGAAAACTGAATCTCTTTAACATAGGATGATCTCTCCCTCTCTCACATACAGGCCATGTTGACTACGGCGAAATTTGCGGTTCAGTTCGCTGTCCATCTTTACCATTTCGCCTATCATTTTCTCAACAGACCCTTTCGTGGAATAACATTGGAACTTTTAGTCCGAGTGAGAGTCACTTTATTCATTAAAAGTTAACTAAATAGATCCTTTTCCCTTCCTCTGTTGTTGTTGTTGTTTTTAAATTTTATACAATATTCGAAAAGAACTTATGGCTCGGCTACAGCGGTTTCTGATAGTGAAACTCGGGAGATAAATATTGATATCATTAGAGTCGATAGTCTTAGTAAGATTTTTGTCGGTAAAAAAGACCATTGTAGGAACTAATAAAAAAAAAAAAAAACAAAGAACGCTTTTCCGCCCTCGTTTTCACGTCGTTTAATCATAGAAAAGGAAAACGCTGGAACAAACCAGAGGTCCGGCTGCAATGCATTGTGAAGTTTCGTTCACAGTTTTTCGCTCGGGAAAATTAAAATAACCACATACGCCTTCTCCTGCCCCTTTTTACTAACACAGCCCTAATTCAGAAATTTTTTTCATGTAAAATAGAATACTCTACAAAAATTTGAGTGGAGGAAGGATCGCATTAGTCTGTTCAAGAATACGCAGGTAAAATCTAACGAATTAGGAAGTTAGATTCATTATGTCCTTAACAAAAGTAAAACTAAAATAAGGCAATAACCCTTCTCGGCCAAATGTGTATGAGTGCTGTCAGAAAGTTATCCAATCTGAGAGGTAACCTGAGATTCCGTACCATCCCATTCATCCCACACATTACCTAGTATCTTCATTTAGGTTTAACCTAGTAGCCAAGGCGTGCTCTTACAACAATACATTACCTGAAAAGTGTATTCAAGTTAACGGAACGGAATCCCTATTGATAGTTCAGTTTATCTGTGAGTAGCTATTTCTAGCAACCAACCTTCATCTGTGCTTTTCTCCACTGTGGTCGTCAGGCTACAAAGCGTCTCTTTAACCTCCTTCATTTCAATCTCTATCTTCTCAGTTGTGTCTCTGAGGTCACTTAGCGAATCTGCATTAGTAAGAAAGATAAGCGCAATTTCATAAGCACATTTACATCACAAATTCACATAAATGTGCAGATAAACAATGATACCTATGTCAATATCTACTCGATTCTGAACAGATCAAACTCAATAAGACGCTTAAAATTCACAAAAGTGCACTCCAGCAGTTGTACACGAGTACCCACGAACAGACAAAGATACTGCCGATGAAAACACACTGTGGACATTTGGATTTAATTCTTAATTTTTCACATGAGGTGAGCGACCTCATTTTTCGACCTTATGTGACCTCATGTAATGAATATACTAGACCTACGGTATTTCTGTGAACATAAGCCTTTGCTTTATCATCTAGACTTAATCCCCTATCGTTATTGAAGCTGCCAAAGAAATATTTATTTTTGGTGAATATTTTTGTCCGACATACTTTTCCTATGTCGAAAAGTACCATCAAAACAAAGACAGTTTTAACAATGACTGATATGACACAATCTACTGAGCTTCAAGCTTTTAAAAGACCAAAGGATGGTTATAAAGTTACTGTAAAAATTTCCTTGTGTATTTGTGTTGTTCTATCTTGAGACGAACTCAAAGTCCGGCAAAATTTACTTGATAGCGACTATGAAATGCACATGGTGCGCCTACTTGTCGCCACCGTTAATTGGCGTAAATCACTACAATTTGTACAAAGTCTAACATAACACTCTTACCTTGTTTATTTATGATTTTATTAGCTGTTTCGATGATCACGTTAATCATGCTCTACCACGTTGCAGCCAGATTTGAGTTTCAGTTTATTTATCTTCTCTAACTTATTATATCAGTGCGTGACAAGCGTGACAGAGAAATTCAAAGGACGAAAGGAGGGGAAACAAATTTGGGTGACTTGCCGCTGTTTGTTTGATGCATGCTGACATTAGCTCTTAAGAAATTTACCTACAATCTGATTTATTTGTCTCAATCTACTAACATGTCAGGTTCCATAAAGGGTTAAAAAAAAACAACAACAACAACAACAAAAAACAGAACCATAAACATATGTGCTGGTATTTATCACCTCCCTTTCCATTCCAATAGTTTCACCATCAAAATACAGTCACACATGTAGTACTGGATTAATCAATTTTTTTAGTTTAAAACAATTTGATTTGTTTCTTATTGGCCCAAGAACATGTATCAAATCACTTCAAATCACTTTGGCAGATGTCATTAGCCTCTGAATTCTCCATATTTTGGTGGTGTTACATAAACCAAGCTAACTATAGAATACAGGCCAGTTCACCAGGCTCATGGAGTGAATTGTTATTCATCATTACATCACTCAATTTAACCACAAGTTTTTTCTCCCATCACCTTTAGCCACTTACTGGTATGTAAACTCAAAATAAGGGTAACTTAATTTCCTCTTTGTCAACTATTACTGATTAAATCATGTTGATTTATAATTCATACAAAAATATGCTGAGGGAACTTAGATCTAAGTCAGACCTATCCTTGTAAAAAGAGAACATTGAGACAGGAAGCAATACCTGCATTAAAATGAGGCCAATCTTGGAATATGACTGGATCATTCAAAATGTTGGCCACAACAGAAGCTGCCATCACACAGGCAATTTCATTCCATTTCTTACTTGAAGAGTGCGTTTCATCTACAAAGTCTTTGATGCCCTTGACTACCACCCATTCTGTCTTAAAATCATGGGCTGCTGCATACACTCCTAAAAAACAAAACAAATAAACAGTAATGTCTGTTAACTATATCTTAAGCTTGTAATTGTTCAATCAAAGCTCACAAAGAGTCACACTCTAGCTGCACTCTTGCTGTTGTAAACATGCACATTGCAGAAAGACATTAGTTGGAACAGAAACCTAATTTTTTTCAACCAGTAATCAAAAAAAATTGTACACTGAGACTGTAAAACTATTCTTCAGGCTTCATCTTGTTTCATATAAAGTAACTTTCAATATTTTTCAAAAGACAAAGTTTTGTCAGTTAGAGTTAACCCTTTCACTCCTAAGATCTCTTTAATGATCCTCTTTAACATTTTAACTCCCAAGATCTGATTGTTAATTCTCCCTTCTAGCTGCTACACATTTCCTTGTAAATTGGTTACAAAAAAATTGGATGTTTTATCAAGGTAATTTTATCTTTTACCTGATGAGTTTCAGTATTCTCATTACCTGTTTGCTGGATAACGTATGGATATTATAGGGAGAAGTTACATGTTAATCACTTCTAAGAGTTAAAGGGTTAATGTATGTCATAAAATTCCTATGATGTTAGTTAGGAGAATTTAGTTTTGGATCAACCAATAATCCCCTAATTCACACTTTTTTCTTTTCCCATTACTTGTCTGCTTAATATCATATTGAAACTGTAAGGAGAAATTCTATCTTGGTCACTCATGGGAGTTTCAGGGTTAACAGGGACTGTGATACTATTCCTCAACTCTCAAACTATTTAACAACATACTTTCTACATTTTTCATGTGACAAATTTAAAATAATTCATGACACCCTAATGGAGCAAATTCAATCTAGTTATCCAGAAGAAGTCTCAGTCACCTTCACCTGTGAAATAATCTTCTCACCCAGCCAAACATCAAATCACTTTAAATACAAGATACACAATTCCTGCAAATTTGGCATGTTATATGGTGTATGCTTGGACCAGCAGAGACAATACCAGAGCAGTGTTTTTCAAAACATTTGCTACATGTGCAAAAGTGCTTGGCTCATCAATTATTTGAATTATTATGATTCTCACCTCCACCTTCCATTTCAACTGCAATTGCTTCAGGATGTTTCCTAATCATATCTCTGTTTGCCTCTGAGATACTCAGAACCACTCCATCACAGTGCACTTTGGCATTATATTCATCAGCATTTTGTAAAGGTGCCTTCCACCCATCAGCCACATGTTTGATCAGGTTACCAATATCTCTGCTGGGGGGAGTTTTGTATACAGCTGTTATCAGCTTTGCTGAAACAACCACATCTCCTAACTTGACCTTTTGCTATTCAAACCACTGCAGGCACCAACAGAAAAGATAGCCTTGGGTCTCAGTACTGAGATGGCATCTTTTGAAACTGACAAAGCACCCTGAGGAACATCAGGACCTTTGGAGCACCTCATCAATGCAATTTTCATTTTCTTTCCTTGATCATCACCCATGCACCCAAAGTACACAGGGCCAGTGCTGATGTGGTAACTCTTAAAGGGTTCCTTCAGGTAGGCAAAACAACTTAAGAACTCACAGTCCTCCACTGCTAATAAAACAATATCAACAGGAAGTTCAACAGTTTCCCAAGAAGAAGAGATTGCTGGAAGATCACACAACTTTGGAAGTTTCACACTGAGCTCTGGTGGGCTGCCATTGCCATTCTCTGCTGATGTATTTTCCCCTGGCATTAATACTGTCTCTGAAAAAGAAGGTTGTAGTTTTTGTATGTGAAAGTTACTTCAATTACTGAAATAAAAATCAAAAGATAAAAAAGATGAAGACAAAAGCAAATTATGGATGTAACAGTTGACTTAGCTTAAGGTAATAAAGATTCACAACTTCAATAATGCATAATTGTGACTTTTAAAAAAAATCTGCTGGAAATTCATTTCATCTAACAATCCAGTATGACTTCATTACTGACTCAACAAATTTAAGTTAATTTAAAACTCAGGTTTGAAAAAAGAATAACACACACCTCTCTCCCATGAATTTTGTTCAGAAATGTCAAAGGAATTCTCCATGTCCCCTCCCTTCCTGGCCTTTTTCACAATTTTGTCTTCATGCAATTTGTCTGTGATACGGTCATCATCTTTCAACCACTCTCTCAGAAGCTCTTGGTAGTGTTCTACAAGATCAGCATCCATACAGTGGAGTGTAGGATCATCTATGACTTCCTCATAGCAGGTCCCTCCAATACGCAGAAAAGTGTCTTTGATGTTGTTCCAGTACAAACTAAAGGTTGGATCATCAACTGAAGCATTAGCAGCATGACTGAAAACTCTGTCCCTGAAAAACTTGATGCGAGTGATGTCAGCTTCTGGAGAGGTGTCTGATCCTGGAGGAAGGTTATTCCGGCCAGAGGCAGGGAAATTCAGACCAAAGATATTCCTCAGAAGAAATAGCAGTAAGGAGGTGTCAAAGTTCCCTGAAGAAACTGATGTTTTAGAGACAGGATACAGTTTCCCCCACTGGAAGGTACTCAGGACTCTCTTCTTTCGCAATGTTTGTAGTTTGGCATGGTTTGTGGGATTAGTCAGAACTGCATGAAGGTTTTCTGGTGGACATACCCGGTCAAAGATCTCCCTTAGCACATCTGATCCAACTTCAACAAGAAGGCGACAGAGCTGGGCATAATTAGAGGTCTCCTTGGTAGAAGGTTGTGATGGGGTGGCAGAAGCCATGAAATCAAGTCCTCTGTAAAGAAATGCTTGTAATTAATACATGGAAGGCAACATTTATAGAGCACACACAAAAATTATTACTTTATTCTAACTTTGCAACACCAGAATATTACAGCACTCAAACAATGAGTTAAATATCACACAACAGATCAATAAAATAAGTTTGCTGCATCTTCCATTTTAACCCTTTAACCTCTAAGAATCAAATGTACGAGTCACAAGAATAAAGGAGATCATCAAAAATTTAAAAAGTTCCTGATTCTCATGTCACACTTTATCTATTTTCTCATATTCAATATACAAAATATTCCTTCAACTTGCAGATAGCAGATGCAAATCCTGGCTGGTCAAATTTTTACTTAAGATTGCTGTCAACAAAATAGGCTGCCTTCTGGAAAAATCTTCCTACTTGTGCTACTACTATTTAAGGAAACTGTTATTAACAGAGATCTTCAGTAGATCATGGCTAGTTTAATCAAAGATGAAGTGAAAAGGTACAGGGAAAACTTACATGCACAATATTTGATATCTGTTTATTTGACGATAAAGATGTGATCAGATTACAACAGAAAAAAATACATCACAGTAAAGCTTATAAAGTACAGATTATGGAAATAACATTTTTCACAGTTTTTGTTTTGGTATGTGCATGTAAGCATTTAAATGCAACATTGATAGTGTTTGCTTCTCAATCACTGAATTACCAGCCTCTGTGTTACCCCAGACCTTGAAACAAACTGTACAGTATCACTCAGCAGATAATAGGCTAACAAAGTGTGTCAGGCAATTTTGAGATTCTTATTGTTTCCTGAGAAAATACATTGTGAAGTTGGACAATAGAAAATATTTCTGTTGTTTTCAAACTCCAATGAATTATGAGAGAAATATTTAGAATTTCTTTGAAACCTCATGTACTTTTGTGTGATAATTACCAATGGACATACAAGCCAATTTTCACAAAAGTCCAACAAATCTACATATCCTATTAATGTACAGGTAACTTGTATAATAACAAACTTCTAGTTTTTGGCCACCAAAGAAATTCACAGTTTCCCATCTCCTTTTAGAAAGCAAGTGTCAAATGAATGAACAATGAGACACAATGTGGAATCCTGTGGCAATTAAGCCTTAACTGACAAAGAACTCCAATGAAATTTGCTGGAAAGGTCATTTCATGAAACAGGAACATGAGTTAAACATAATCCAAAAGTTAACAAGCAAGCTCTGGAAAATGAACAACTTAACTTCAATTTCTTTGGCTTGAGCTCTCTCCCTCTTATTAGTGAACTCTTTAAGGCTCTCATTACTCAATGTTTTGCAAAATGGGCCAGAGATTCCCAGTGAATGTGCAGTGCAAGATGTGATGAAAACAACATATGCAAATTGGGATCCTGGATGAAAGCCTGCAGAAAACGTCCACACTCTGTCTGAGGCATTTCCCATGATGACACCTTTCACTCTTCATACGGGCTTATACTAAAACATCCTTTCAGCTGTATCTCACCTTCTTTTTAAGATTTTTTTTGTAAATAAACCATTTAAGTAGTTAAAACTAATTTCTCTAAAAATAAAATTTTGAAAATTTTGAGCAGATTTTGTTGACAGTAAAATTAATATGACAATAATACATTTAAAAAAAAACATTAAAAGATACACAAGAAAAGAAAATGGAAAATGAAAGACATTCATTGTAAAAGATAAAAAGTCCTTGAGTATCTAAGTGCACAATAAAAATATTGTTTCAACTGCAAGTACAATTTGTTTCAATTTTGCAGTGTTTGAATTTATATAACACATTATCTCATCAGGCTTGAAATAAGAATCTTCAGTCTCTAGAATATTGAGAAACCTTTCTTGTTTCTTTTTTGAAGGATTTCTTCAACAAAACTTTCTATTGATATTTAGCATCTCATTCCAGATTTTGAAACCTGAAGCACTTGTGACATTGATGAGCAGTGGTAGTAAATGGGTATAATTGTTTAATGTTCCCATAAAAAATTTTATGATGTTAGAAAGTGCACTAATAAGCTCTGTTGTTATCAATATTCAGCATTAATTTATATACAGCTTCATAATATTAGATGGTAATAGGTAGAATTTTTGCATTTATAAATAAAGGGATAGCATGTTCTTTTCAATCAGCAGAGCAAATTAAACACAATACGCACTTTTGGAGAACAACAAATTTGTTTACTTAATATATATTTTAGATGTATTGCCCCAAGCAGCAAGTCTAATATAGATATATTAGGTAAAAATAAGGATTTACAGATATTTATGACAACAGAAGATGTAATAACGCATATCAACTTAGCAATCATTTGTATGTTCCTACTCATTTTGGTGATAACACAGTCAACATGGTTTTTCCAAGAAAGATTTTCATCAATTAAAACACTAATTAAATAATTGTTGCATTTGTAGCTGTAATGTTCTAAACTGACTCTTCCATTTACTTCACTATCAAATATACTTCTTTGACAAATTCTCCTTGTCTGTTCCATAGGAAATGTAAAGAGAACAGTGTGGAGAATATGAATACCAATGTCTTAGGGTGTTAAGGGTTAAAAGTCAAATGGAGGGGGGAACCCACACAATTCCACAACACCCACACTACACATCCTTCCTTTGCTTCCTTCAAGACTGAAGGTAGCAATCATCTGCATATTAGCCTTCAATGGGATGCAGCAGGCATCACCATCCTTAGAGGGAATGGTGGCATACTCCCCCCACGAAAATTGTGGAAACAAGTATGAAGTTGCTATGGCAACATTAGCATAAGTAAGCATTTCCACAGCTGGAAAGACTTTTAAGCAAGTTTGAAGGGAACAAGGAGTAAATTATACTAGAAAGGATAATTAATAAAACTCCCAAAAGTGATAAACAAGCAACTTCTCCCTATAATTTCTAAACATTATCCAGCAAACAGGTCATGAGAATATTCATATTTATCAGGTTTAAGTTATCTCGATCTATCAACAAATTCTTGTAACTTATTTACAAAGAAATGTGTAGCAGCTGGAGGGGAGAATTGACAGTCAGATCTTGGGAGTTAAAGGGTTTACAAAAGCAGCAGTTTGCTATAAGAAACAATAGTTTCAGCTTGAGAACATAAATTAAAATTGTTTGCGTGAGATCTCATGCTCCATGTGAAAGACTTGACAGCTTTGTCACTAGGGCTTTTAAGAGGGGCGGCTTATAAGTGGCAGTTTTCAGTATTTCTGGAGTAGAGGGACATGTATCAGTTGTTCCTTAGGCTCAAAATGAAGGAATGTATCAAATTAAATTCTCGACAAGCCAGGAGTAAACTAGAAAATTGACTTTGTACTATTTGAAAACACCTTTCCAATTTGGAGGCCCAAATGAAAGGCCACTATTACAAATAAGCAATTGGTTGGCAAATACAGAGATGTCTTCAACAAACATGCAGAAGGTGCTGACCGAAGCACTACAGTACCGCTCGCGACTGCACGTCAACTGCGCAGATGAATTTCACACGCTCAGACGCAGGGTAGTCAGACGCGTATATAGGATTTTTTTTACTTTATAATGATAACTTCATTTGCCTAAATAATAAGATAATAATAATAATAATATAAAAAAAGCAGAGATAATAATTAAAACATATATACAGACAGATAAAAAATAAAAATAACATCGAAATGCAAAATGGCAAAAAGGGTCAAGCCAGAGAGGAACTAAATCCTCATTAACGGCACGGTCGGAAAAAATGCACAACTCATGTGCCTTTGTAATTCAGTGCTACAAGTTTCCTTTATATTACATTACTATGTGAAACAAAGAACTTTCAGATTTGAAAACGCGGCGAGTGGAGAACGGAAAATTTACATAGAGAAAAAAAGCCATCATGCTACACTCACGCATGTCGCGTCGCTTCGCGAATTTAGCAGTAGAATCGCTGGATTTGAGTTGGTGATGAATCAGTTGGGAAAGAGAATGTCTATTACTCATGGCATCGAAACACGTGTTTCATTGAGCAAGTAACGAAACAAATACTCCGTAATTAATGCTTCCCAATTAATTCATGGCAATCAACACTCCCCAAGATGTTTACGTCGCGGAATCAAAACAATTTGGTCTTTGCATGGTAAAATTTCCGCACAGTTCCATACTACATTATGCATTCAGTTCTTGGATAGAGAGAACAATGACAACCACGTTACATTGCCATTGGAAAAACAGATTTGTTTTACAATAGTATGGGGCTGACGAATTCTTCGAAACTTCGAACCTGCCTCGATCACCTTCGATGAGGATCAGAAGGAAAATATACTGGTTACGATTGTGAATGATTTTCTGTTTTATTTATTGCAACACGCGCCCGCTTCAGTGTTTACGCATCGGAATGTAAACAGTTTGATTTCACATCGCTCGTGATGATTTGTTTGATTGCGGAGCGCATCGGATTACTACGATGAAAGGTCAAGTTAAAAGACGAAAATTCATCTGAAATCGAAAACGCTTCAACAGACTACTGTTCATTATTTTATTGTGCAAGCGCCTATCAATAATGTCAAGATCTTTCAAAACAGACTCTAAAATCTGACATCAACCCATGTCCACGAATTTCAAACATTTGTCTCTTAGAACGCATATTTCATACCTCGTAGCCGAGCGAATCCAGCCAAATTCCACAAAGTAATAACAAATAAGTGAATCAGTTAACATAAAAACTACCGATAGTGATATCAAGAGTAATTATGAGCTCCAATTCGTAAGATACGAGCATCTCTTAAACAAACAGGAAGTGTTGACCGAAGCACTAAGCTACGAGGGTTAAGACATTAGTCCCTCTCTACTGATAACATGAATCAAGTGAAAAGTATGCATACGGTACACAAATGACTTTACCTTGGCTAGAATCGTCCGCTAAGAAACGTCAAACAAGTCTTTCGAAATAGAGATCAACCGTATCCTACCTGCACCTGAGCCATGTTGGAAACTTTGGTACGAACGCTATTCGGGGTTTTGCCTAAACCTGTTTGAGAGAAGAATAACCGAGGAAGACTAGAGACGAGTTTCCGGGTGGTGCACTTCTCTTTATGGCGGACTATTCAATATTATTAGGGAACTTAAGCAAACCACGACGGCGACGGCAACGTGGACATGGGAAAACAAAAGATCTAATTGGCAGAACGATAGCTCAGCACGTGCGCTTTAAAACCCCTAATATCAACAGTCATGCAACGTTGCCGAACAAGACACGCACCTTCAGGGCGTGAAATTAATTTTTTTTTCCGATAGCCACTTTGCTCCTAAATTCTTCAAAGTGGTAGCCAAGTGGAAAAAAGTTGGTCGCCATTTTCAAAGACAAACAAAACCTTTTTTTAAGCTGTCGGCGTTCTAGATAGACCCTCCAAAATTAAATTTGGGAAAAGATCTTTAACGTGCTACAAAGTGGACACTAGGATGGACGATATACAACCTTATAATAAAGTTCGGATATAACGCGCGCTGTCATTGGTTGAATTCTCATTCTATGAGAGTATAGAGCATAGAACTGAGCTAAAGCTGTCACGCCATCTGCCAAATTATTCTATGTTCGATCTTTTCCGAGACTTCTTTTTAGCTTTTTTCCGATAATTGAAAGTGAAATTTCGGAACAAGCGAGCCGGCAAGTAGCAACAGAACAACCAAACAAAGGTTTGTAAACATACCAGGCGCCGTAATTTACGTTATTAAAACGTGAGCAGATATGAAAATCCTTAAATCCTTAGACATTCCGAGTTTCAAAGATTTTCACGCTCAGTTAGATTGCAAGCCTAAGAGTACGGTAATAAAAATCAAACACAGCAAACACTCGAATAGTATATAATGTTCAGAGTTCAAAAACAAAATAGAACAAAACAGAAATGATGAAAAATATAACCAAACTGGCATAACTGTTAAAATTCATACTAATCATGACGGTGTCTGAGCAAATATGATCATGCTCAAGTCCATCGCGGCTCGCTTATCAGTCCTTTTCATATCTATCATATCTGTAGCAACTAGAATTTGCATTTTTATTTATTGTCAAGTAACTGCAAAATGATTTTATAGCTTTTCTTTCAATTGAACCACTGTTGTGATGTTCTGTTTCGATTCAGTAAAGGTCGCGTTTTTGCTTGTGGTTGTGTAAGAATTACATAACACCGGTGGTGTTGCTAGTTGATTTCAACTAAGTCAGTGTTTGCGTTAGTTTTTTCTAGCGTCGTGTTACTTTTTATAAGAGTTCTAGCTACCGGACCTGGTTGCGCCACACAATGTAAGCTCGTTTCTATTTTATATAGCTGTGTCGTTATTCTTATTGTTATTATTTTTGTACTAGATATTTGTATTATTTATTTATTTTCAGTCGAATCACATTTACACATCTACACATCTTTACATCCAAATATTCGTCTATCTGGAAAACAGATTAAATATGCATTCAGGTCATGGCGTTAAACGTGTTGTATTTATCTACATTATCTGTAGCACGGAATTCTAGTAAATCAGGTTATTTATTATTTTATTTTTTTAACGTAGGTAGAAGTAAAACGTTGCATAAGGTAACCTAGTGTTAGTTTGTATATTTATATTCAAATACTTGAAGATCCGAACTTATATCCAAATGCCGTCACGAAAACAATTTTTATCTAAAGAACATCTGGCGCCTCCCCGCTACAATAGACTTTTGTCAATATATTCACACCTACTACCTCACTGTCCTTCACTAATACATCCACATCCATTGTAATTTTCGCTTTTTCTCACCTATTATATAACAACAACCCATTGTAATCAGCAGCTATCTTTTTTATATACATAAATTAGCCTACAAGAATGTTTTTCATTAAATCTGTCTGACGAGTGCGTAAGCACGAGACTCAGAGTTACAGGGAATCATGCGTGTTTCATTTTAGTCATTTTGAACTATAAATTTATATTCATAATCTTTTAACTTCTGAAGGACGAATACCCGTAAGGAAATAAAGTTGACTTGTTTTCTCGGTCCGTATCGTAAGTTATGGAGCCTCGTTTTTTCCTCTCGGATTTATGGCCTGCGCACTTGATCCAGGAATCCTAGCGGAAAGAAACTCGATTTTTGACTTACATTACAGAGGTATGTTGTGGCTGATTCATGGAAGTTAACTTATTCACTCCTATAAGCTTTGCATTATTTAAGCCGCCGTGTGTATTATGGGAAGCATCGGCCGACACATTCGAGTCGTGCTGCCGGGACACTGGCCGCCTTTCCGTTATTCCCTCAACTAGCACCCGAGTTTAAATTATAGATTTATGACAATTTCTTGACACTCGAGGTCAAGTTTGTCAAAAATTACAACACACTGATCTTGCAATTTTACTCGGAGATCATTAGCTTTGAAATTTAAACAACAAAAATATTAGAGAAAGAAGTAACTTAGTATTATCAACTGAATTCATAACGTTAATAAGCCGCAACGTAGAGAGTTTAGCTTTGAAACTCTATACAGTGGTCAGTTTACGTTGTCAACTCAGTTTATAACACTTCATTATCCTGTTATATTCTCTCACCAACGCAGCACCACAGTTTCTTTAGAAACTGACCCCTTTATCAGATAACGAAATAGAATGAACCGGTTTTTGTGTTGTTGTTGTATTTTTAGCAGAGACCCACGCCTGTATTTCTTTGATTTACTTTGTGAAATATGACTTTATGCAAGTTAAGTTGAATAAAAGAAATTTATATACATATATAAAGATAAACAAGTCACATAATCGAAAACGTACATCTTTATTTTGCACTGTCAAAGAAACGTGAGACGATAATCGATAACCTAAAAAGAAAAACAATTAATCACAATTTCAATTGCTGATTTACCACGAAGGCAATTGCAATGAAAAAAAGAAAAAACGCTGATAATGAAAAGGCCTTTTGAAGATCTCTAACAAAAGAGCACAACTGTCACAATCAAAGAACCCATGACAGTGTTGAACAGTGTGGGAAGAACAGCTGATACTCCAGCCTTTGCGTCTACGTCCCATCCGGGTCCAGTGTACCCCAGCTCTTTCCTCTGTTCCACCATCCACTTGCGGAGAGGCTCAAAGTATTCCGATAGAGCGCCCACATCCAGAGTTTCACTTCCGGTTAGTTTTTTGAGAGCTTCCGGCCAAGGCTTGCTTTTTCCCATCTTCAGCATATCCCTATAGATTAAAGGAGAGAAACGCCATTCAATACAACACATTTCTCCATGTGCGGGCTATGAAATTGAGATTTATAATTATTAATAATGGTAATAATAACAATAATAATGATAATAACAACAACAACAATAACATATCAAAGCAATAATTTTTGGGGGACAAATAACATAGCATGGCGGTTAATTTCCTGGAACTGATCCTGACGGCACTTTTGAACAAAACGAGACATAATTAGTCAGAGTCTCCCAATATCCAATCATTGTCGAGTTTTGCTTTTTCTGGCCTCTTCTATGCTAATTTGAATTATTAAAAACGATTTAGAGCTTTAATAGGTGTAAAAATAATCCAGTGAATAGTTTGTTGATAAATGAATGAAACGACGACGGTGACGCCGAGGAAAACGTCGGTTAAAAAAATGAACTTAGATTTTACCTACGAATCTCATGATACTCTAGAGTCATTTAGTTTTTTTCTCGCTGTCCAAGCTACCTCGGAACTGAATGTGGAACACAGCGTTTAATTAGAAATAGAAATTAAAAAAATAAGCCGTCATCGTTCACGTTCTCCGGACAAGGCAAAGTTTGGTCATAAGTAGAAAAATAAGTATCACATTCACAAGTGATTAAAATATTTTCATACTTATCAATACAACAGTGGTTCAGCAAAAGCTGAAGGAACAAGCATATCAGCAAAAAGTAACACATCTTTTGTCAATATTTACCCGATCTCCTTTCCCGCTTCTTTCGACTCGTAGATGGAGCAGGTATGCAAAGGTCCCGTATGTCCGGCTGCCTCACAGGCGGCCTTGTGGAACTGGAATTGTAGCACGTAGCTCATAAAGTACCTGAGCAATAAAAATAAAACAAATTAAATTTGGTCAGTGACACATTCATCGGGGAAATATTCTACCCAACACAAGGTTTCTTGGACAAGCCGTCTTCCCGACGTTTAGCTTGAAAAACGAAGCGCGATAACTTAACGCGGGAGATCAATATATGACCCGACCCATGCCTCTCTCCTTTTCACAGTCCGCTGCTTCTTCAGCATCATTTACTATCACGCTACATTTCACCAATTGAACGCCTGGAAAAGGAAACAATTTATTCTCAGTCATCCCTGTTTCCCTTTAGTTCATCCATTCCTCGTTGTCGTTGCCCTTCTCTCCTCCCCTCACGTTTCGATGGGGCAATTTAACCAGTTAAACTAAAATATACGGTCTCGAAATCATATCATAGATTATTTCAACAGGATCGTGCATGGCGAAATAATCAACAATTATTCACCGAAGTGGAGGTGAAAAGTGGTGGATATTTCCCGAGCTGCGAAGCAGCTAAGGAAACATCTGTTACTTCCAACGACAATCAGGCGAATAATTGTTTTAGCATATACCAAACAGATATAAAAAAATTAGTTTATTGCTTTCAATACATCGAAAAATGCTCAGAAATTTAGCTCTTGAAGCGCGATTTTTTTTTTCTCAGCAACTCGGAGGTGAATAGTAATTACTATTTACTTCCAAACTAGCCAATAAGCGCGCGCGCGGAAAGCACAATTCACAGGTGTGGTTTATACTTAGATGTTATCTGACGTTTTTCAAACAACTGGCTTCGGAAAATATACATGCAAAGATGTTTGCATTTGTTATCACAACTTGTCTGGTGGAGATTGGCTTCCTAACCCCAAACCCCTTCTGGCCTCCCCTCACTTCCCCCGCCAGTCGACTGTGAAAGGGATCAGAATAAACTTCTCTCCCACTGGCTACAATACCCACCTGATGTATGGTGTATTAGCTGGAATGTGTTATTTGCATCAGGGATCAAAGTTATTTTCTGTCCTTTCCACAGCAGGTTCCATTCTTTGGTACTTAGTCCTCAGTTCCCACCACGCGGTATTGTAATTCTCCTCAGTGATCTTACCGCAGAAAACTTTCCATCTCCATTGGTCGATCAAGACTCCGAGAGGAAGGAAAGCCACCTCACGCAGAGCCATCTTCATCAAGGCGTTTATGTCGGATTCTACAAAACGAAGTTCAAAGAAATAAAGCTTGTGCTTAAATTCATTCTGTTCACAGCTGTTTATCCAGCCGGTAAGCTAGAAAGCGTAAGTTTCGAAAGAAAATGTGGTGTTCCGTCGGTGGGAGAGTATAACAAGGTAATTCGGTATTATCAACTGTTGATAACGGTTGATAGCGCGAATTGCCCACCCTCAAGAGTTTCAAAGCTGACAAAAGTTGATAACGTAAATTGGCCAGCGTTAAGAGTTTCAAAGCTGACGTTTCGAGCGTTAGCCCCTCGTCATTCGCTCAGACGAAGGACTAACGCTCGAAACGTCTGCTTTGAAACTATTAACGGTGGCCAATTTTACGTTGTCAACTGAGTTGATAATAACAAATGGTCTTGTTAGAATCAACAGCATTTGTGTTATATGTTAAAAAAGCAAAATGTCGTTGACGGTGATATAATCTGTGCGTCTGTCCTCCTATATATCCATGAGCATGAACCACTCAAAATGCTCATATAATTCAGCGTAACATAAAGAGAGAGGAAATCTGTCGAATATACAGCTCAATCCATCAATCCACACACCAGCCCTAATATTTTCAAAACACATACAATTAATTGTTTCCCCGTTGGTGGTATTTCTTCCAGAAAGATCTCCGCAAGAGTGTCATGCACATTAGCTACAGTTTCTAATGATTACAAACCACAGCACTTAACAGACGTTGAAAAAATAGCGTCAAGCAGAATGGTGCAAACTCTTTGTTATTGAACTGCCGGTAAAAAGGGGGCTGTAGTGTTGCTACAGCTACCTAATACTACATAAGTAAAAAGATAGTAATGACAACTTTTTTAAAACTTTTGATGAAAACGTTCCTTTGAGTTCAACAGTCAGTGGCAACTTTTACAAGGTGTTCATTAACCCTCTGACTCCCCAAAGTGATTAACATGAAACTTCTCCCTATAATATCCAAACATTAATCAGCATACAGGTAATGAGAAGAATCAAACTTATCAGGCAGAAGCTGCTATCTTGATCTAGCACCAAGTTCTCACAACAAATTTACAAGGAAATGTTACACCGCTGGAGGGGAGAATTAACAATCAGATCTTGGGAGTTAAAGGGTTCAATCATTGGAGAATTCTTCACTTAACCCTTTAACTCCCATGAGTGACCAAGACAGAATTTCTCCTTACAATATCAATACAATATCAACCAGATAAGTGATGAGAATAAAGAAAAATATCAATTTGGGGATAATTAGTTGATCCAATACTAAATTCTTAGAACTAACATTATAAGAATTGTATGGTTGACAGTAAGGAGAATTACAAATTTGATCTGGGAGTTAAAGGGTTAAGCACTTTAACACTCTGACTGAAAAATCTAATAAGTAATTCTTGTTACTGTTTGCCATACAATTCTTATGATGGACAATTCTTACGATTAAAGAATTTGGTATTGGATCAACTAATAATCCTCTCATTGATATTTTTCTTTATTCTCATCTCAGCCTAGCGTTGTATTGACATTTGTTGGGAGATTGGCCCAGAAGATTTTCCCCTTTCTCTCGAGCTCTCATCCAATCCAATTCAAAACTTGAAATAATCAGGACTTAATCAATAGCATTTTCCAATGCTTAATTTTACTTCATTTCATGTTGAGTTCCCATTGGCTCCCTGTGATATTTTACTTTGTTCTGATTGGCCATTATCATAACTCAAACAACAAGAGCTCTGATTTGAAAAAAAAAAGAATACTCAGATTGTACATGTACCTATCAGCTCCTGTCTTCTTGATGTACACTCATTGATCATGTCTTCTGGGATGACACCTTCTACTACTTTGGACCTGTTAGGTAATAATTTAAATCAGCAATAGTTGTATAAAAATGAAAGAGCCAATTAAGATACTTCATTTTAATTTTTTGGCAGATTTTTAGATTTATATTGAATTTCTAGCCTTGTGATTGGCTAAACAGCTAAATAAAAATAAAATAAAAGTCATGAGAACGAATAATCTTACCCATGATTCCCTCAAAGTAATAAGCCTTCCATCACACAAGGTCAATGACTCCTTTTACCTCTGATTCCAAACCAATTTGCAACTGGGTGAAGGCTGCAGTGTGTTGTAACTTTGCTCTGGGGAAATAATTTTTCACTTATTCTAATAGGAAGTTCCTTTGATATACATTGTGGAAAAAAAAATCAGCAATAAAAACGACTAATTTTTTCACCTCCCCAAGTCATTTCAAATATAAAAAAATTAGCATATAAATTTAATAGTTAAAAAAAAAACAGATGAAAATGTAACAAACATCTTCTCAAATGTAGTGGATGGTCTTTTCTGTTGTTCTTGTCAACTCTTGAAAATCTCAGTGTCAATCCAATCCATAGGCATAGAAATTCAATTGTAGCCTCACAATTGACATGTTTAATGCTACACTGTTCAGGTCATTTTTTGCAAAAATTTTGTTCTGTTTCTCATTTGTTATATCTATATAAATTTTTACCATGTTCCTTCTTTAGGACTAGAATTTTAACTCTTTTATAACAAAAAAAATTTCCACATTCTTTCCCCTATCACCTATTCTGTAGACCTTATCATTTCAATCATTCTCAGAGATTTTTTCAGAAAACCCAAGGGCTTCACTTGTTTTTCAAATTTTGGCCAGATATGATATCCTCTCTGAAGAAATTTAGGTGTTGATGTAAAAATTTGCATTGATAATCAATTATCCAAAACTATTTTTAACAATAGCACAGTGCTTGGACTGTAGTCATTTTTCCAACACAAATTCAAATTAGAAATAAAGGCCATAAGGCAAAAATGATCACACTACGATTGCAACTCAACAATTTTAGGAAACCTGATAACTCATCTGTAAAAAAGCTCGAGGAAGGAAAGGCACTTTTTTCCATTCAAAATCTAAACCACTACACTACCTTAAGATACTGACAGTGCTAAATAAATTACTTACAGCTTGCTGTCCTAAGTTAAAACTACAAAACTGTTTAACCTTTTTTTTTCTAATTTTTTCTTTCCTTTTTTAACATAGTAATGTAAGGTAATGTAGTATTGTTATTGTGCCACAATAAAAAAAACAATCTTGAAAAATCAATGAGAAATTTACCCTTTCAATCTCATAATTTGGTTTTTCAGCATCACGTAAGTCCAAGCTTCAAAAGCCCTCTCCCCCTAACTAACAATCCCTCACACATTTGAACCTTTGAAGATGGACTCATTAAAATTTCCACCTCACCGCAGGTGTACATGTATGTTGCTGACAAGAGCTCTTACTTTTTGCACACATAAACATCATAACTATGTGTTCATCTGTTTTTGATGACAATTCAAACTGTAAATCCTTTATGATTACAGTAGGATACTCTGTAACAAAGCAGTGTGACAAGTTCAGAAAAGTACCTTAAGGAATGTATAAAGAACAGTATAGAGAATATGCATCCTGATGTTAGGGAATAAATGGTTGATAGACTCACCTGGTGTGTCAATAATGTTGATGTTTGTATCTTTCCAATTGACATACATTATGTTACTGCAGACTAAAAAAACATACATATATACAGTTGTATCTTCTTGAAATATACAAAGAATATTATTTCATTATGCAGATAATATTGAAACACCAGAATTTCTACTGTATTTAAGACATAACATCTTCACTTTGCCTTGTGAACATACTACAAAAGATGTACTAATGTTGCTATGGTAACCATGTATACAATCTTCAAACTGTATATTCCTGACATTTGAAATTCAACTGTGGTTACATGTGTATGAATATCATATACTTGAATTCGCAATGATAAAGCAGCAGTGAAAACAACACCTGTAAAAAATTCAGGCCTATACATTTTAACCCATGACCTCTGGGATACCAGTGCAATGCTCTATCAACTGAGCTACAAGGCTATAACAAGCCAACTGGGAGTTGGTCACTTTGTTGGTTTGTAATAAATCCATTTAGTGATCAATAAATGACTGTGATTATATGAATGTCATGCACTTGAACTGTAGTTTATTAAATAAATCATAGTACTGTTACTTAATACCAACCTGTATGGTTATTCCTCGCTGTCGTTCCAGATCCATGGAATCCATAGTGGCTCCTACATTGTCCTTACCTCGCACCTGGTTAGGAAAAAAGGATGAATACCAAACAACCAAATCTAATGCATGGATATATCAATGCATCGTTCTTGAGCAAAGAATTTGTTTCTCATCAATAAGGTATAAAAAAAACCTGAGATAAACTGTAACATGCTTTGGAGCTACAGTGAGATTATGTATCTTGTATCTTCACATTTGTTTGTCGTAAGAAGTCTGATCATACTGGTGAGAGTGGTTCCCTGAAGGACTGTTGTTGGTAGAAGTGACTCAAGTTTTAACAATACCAATGTGTTACAATATAATCTAACAAACAGAAAGAATGCTATACTCCTTTAGACTTCACTACTTTATTAAACAACTTTTAATATTTTTAATGCAGAGCAAGTCCAACAGGAAATACAGTAATTATCCTCAATAAACTTACTTAAGCCCACAACAATCTCTGTCTTGCCTCACCACTGACACAAACTCACAGTTTTCTCCAAAGTTCCTTCAATTAAACAATCTTCACAATAGCCCTCTCACTCTGTGTATAGCTTTCCAAGCAGTCATTCACTTCTGACAACAACAACTACTACTACACAACTGAGTCCTTATAAACATTTACAAAGTATTCTAGAACATTCTGGAAACTTACAACACGACCATCTCAGTGGACTGGTATTACATCATGACTGCATGACCTAATGAAATGTTCTGTTATGTTCCATGGAATGCTTCTCAGCATGACAAAACATTCTTACCAGAAAATGTCTAGATACTTGCCGTAATTTCCGGTCGTTAACCCGCGGGTAATCTGTTGATTTTGCATTAAACGCGCGCCACTGCGGGTAATACGGAGGTGCGGGTTATGTGACAATTTTAAAATCTAGTGGTAGTTGAATTGAAAAAAATTATCACCAACATGCGTTTCCACCTCTCAAGTGAATTTTATTGTATTAAGAGTGCCGCAAAGCGGCACGAAAACATGATGCCGACTCGAGTTTATTTCACGCATAATTAGTTGCGCGACAAACAAATTGCTATCGGCACGCGTGAAAACAAAACCTTGATGGTGACAAAAATAATCTAAAGATATCCGGCGCATCAGTAACAAATTTCCATTTAACACTAGCTTGAGCTGAAGAGAATTTTCCCGTTTTAAGGGACTTGTTAGGCCCAATAGAACCGGAGATATCGATTTTTTTCAGAAATCGCCGACAGTACTTCATAATTCAAGTTCTAATACTCACCCAGCTTTTTTTCAACAAATCAATATGGCGCCGAACGATCGCTCGCACAAAATGTGACCACAAATTCGCATTCTGTCAAGTATGAAACGTTGAGATTTGGGCATGGTCCGCTAGTGTTTTTACTGTATAATCTTATCAATAAAGTACATGCTAATATTGACACAGAATTGTGCACGCGTCTGAATTTCTTTGACCTTTAAACTCGACAAAGACGCTTTCAAGTTTTCGAAAGTTGGATCAGACAACTTTTAAAAGACTGAAATGTATCACCTTAATGTCACGTTTTCGCCACCAAAAAGTTGAATAACAACGTGCGGGTTATCCACCAGTGCGGGTAATCTGGTGACTTTTTTTTTCGCCGTATGCAATAATCGGCCGGTGCGGGTAATCGGCCGTGCGGGTAAACGACCGGAAATTACGGTATTTCTACAGTCACTATCCATAACAAGTGGAAGTCATAAAGTCATAATCATTTGACACAAGTGGTGACTTCCACCAAGGTTGTCAAATCATCAGTCTTTACTGCCGACAGCAGTCCTTTCCAGGCCTACTCTAACCCAGACAATCAGACAACACAATCAAATATTATTACTGCAAGTTGTCAAACCTTTACTATTTAGAAATAATTGATTGTAGAAGCTGTGGTTTAAACTGTACATCAACTTGATATTAACAAAGTCTTTGTTTCAGAGATATTATCAGAACTGTCTTCAACCTATGGAAGTTTGACACCTCTTGAACTTTTAGTAAATTTCAATCCACAACACATGTTGAGACAGGGCAAAAATCACTATTTGTATAATCACTCAAAACCCATGGGAAATTGGCTTTGAACTGTTACAATGTGTATCAAAATCCATTAGTGAAAAAAATTTTTTTGGTCTTGTCAGAACTCCTATCAACCTACAGAAGTTTGATATCACTTAAACTTCAAGTAAATTTTGATCCATAACACACACTTAGGAAAAAAACTGCAGTAAAGATTTCAACAGGAAACCACAGGGCAAAAATCATTATTTGTATAATCATGCAAAACCCATGGAAATTACACTTTAAACTGTTAAAACAAACATCAAAGTCAATTAGTGAAAGATTTTTTTTTCTCTTGTCATGAGCATGGCACTAAAAAAGAATTTAGAGTCCTTGTGAGGAATAGAATCTCAGACCTTCAGATTCACCACTTTGATGATCTACTTCTGAGTCACAGAGACTTTGCTGTGAGCTCAATTGTTACAAGGTCCACATGTGAGATGCATCCTGCAAAGTAGGATTGGTAATGTTGAAAGCATTTCTAAAGGCAAATCAAAGTCCATTGTTCTCACCTCATGCATTTGACTGATTCTTCCAGTATAAAACAAAAGTCTCTCTGTGAGTGTGGTTTTTCCAGAGTCAATATGGGCAGATATACCAATATTTCTGATTTTTGACACATCCTTCGGTCGAAAAAAGGAGACAATGTTGCATGTATGCCCAATGTACACAGCCATGCCCAATTCACAAATTGAAAGTGGTTTAGCATGGTCTGTACTCTTATCGACAATGATATTCATTATCACAGAGGTCAAAATTTGCTACAGACTCATGCGGCCCAGCCAGGTGAATCAGCAAAAACTTTTGAGCAATTTGATGATGAACATTGTATAGAGACCATGCTAAACCCCTGTCAATTCCTTTTTTACCACAATAATGATGTCAAACAAAATGATTCTTTCAGTGATAAAGGCATTGCATGACCAGTTGATGCAAGCAGCGTTGCTCATGCTCTTATCAACAACAGCAAATTGGCCAATCAAATTGCAACATTACTGCTGATCGTAGAAAAGAAATGTTTTGAAAATACGCAAGGCATCTAGTAATAAAAAATTCCCCAATTTCAAGGGGCCTGTATTCATGAATGAACACTGAGGAAAAAATTTAAGTTTTCACTAATTAATGTTAGTAGTAGCTGGAAATAGGGTAAAGTAACAGGAGAATATCATTCATTGAGAATAAAAGATAAGGCTGTGTTTAAATGCTAGGTAGTCAAATATTTTCACAGAATTTCTACTGAAAGATTATTCTTTAGAGTATCAAATATTAGTTTAGAAATATTAAGTAATTCCAAAAATTATTTTGGCTTTTTACTACAGAGCACAAATTATCAGAGCAGATGCATACTATAAAATTGCAAGGTTTTCAACAACTCTGAAACATTTCTCACCTAGTGATTTCATAATGCTTAAAAAATTTGTCCTATAAAACACCACAATAATTTTTGGAGTTGCTTGGCATTCCTAAACAATCAGTAGGTTTGCAAGAGAAAATTTGGGGGAAATCAACATTACTTTACTTTAGTAATAAGAACTTGGTGTTTGATCAAGATACCAGATAAGTTTGAGTATTCTCATTACCTGTTTGCGGGAGAATGTATGGATATTATTGGGAGAAGTTACATGTTAATCACTTCTGGGAGTCAGAGGGTTAATGAACAAAAAACAAAAAATAAAAAATAAAAATAAAAAACAAAATAAATTTAAAAAAAAAAAAAACTTTATTTAAGTGTCAGTGTATTTTAGCACTGCTGTGCTAATTGGGGACACTGTAAATAAGGAAACAAATATCATAAATGAACAGAAAACTTGTTAAAAACCCCAACTGGTAGGAGGCAGACCAGTTGGCTATTTACAAAGCGTGCGGGAGTTGAATTCAGGGCCACCGAAGACAAATCCATCCAGTGGCAGGGAGGAGGACTTGAACCCGGGACCTCCGGCTTACAAGTGCAGCGCCCTAACCACTAGGCCACGCTCGCCTCCCTAAAAATCTAAGGAACATTTTCACCGACAGTTTTGAAAGACTGTTGCTTGTAATAAAATAAATAAAATATATACATTTTTAACACCGGTGAAAATGTAGTCAAAAACTGTCGACCTCCTTGAGAAAGTTGAGCACTCACCGTTGCTTCAGAGGCAAAAAACCGAGCCTTCACCTACGAAAAAAAAGGCATTCGTTCGTAAGATTCAGGATTAATTACTAACCAAAGGATACAAATACGAGCAACTTGTACTCCCTAATATCTATTGAACTCAATCTGGATTCATTATTTCCCATATTAATCAAAATACGAAAATAATCAGTTTAAAATCATATTACTGTTTTGATTTTTGATTCTCTCGTTCTATAACTTCTATAACTTTCTGATACGATAGTCCTAACTGTTTGAGAAAGATGTACGATTATGTAAGCTTTTCACTTCTTCGTGATTGAGGATTCTCGTTTCGTAAAAATTAACAAAAACTTAAATTACAGTCTAAACATCAAGGTTGCAAATCTTACATTACGAGAAAGAAGACGAAATCCAGATCGCTGGATCAACAGTGTCGCTAAACCCATTTTTCGAGCTAAAACATCATAGTCCGTACATCTCAGGAAATCTTTCTAAGTAATTTCTACCAGGCGCACGTGAAATGGATTTGCGCATGACCAGATAATGACTACTGCTGTTAACCAGTTTCGTGGAAAAAAGAGGAAGCCGGTTCCAAACACATACCACGTGCCATATCAAAATGTACATTTTAAAATTTATTAGAAACTTCAATTTTATAGTCATAAGTGTTCCCAAGAGTAACCCTCCGTTCATTGGCGTTATGATACAACTTCTATGATACGATTTTTAAGATGCGACTTTACGCGCCGCCATTTTTAAAACAGCTGAGTAACCAGGCCCAATACCCGCACAGTGCGCGGTTCAATTTGGTTATTGTAAAAACAGAAAACCATAATTTGAATCACGAATAGTTTTACTCGTGACTCCGACTCCTACGTGTAAATACAGATCACCAAAAGATAGATCAAAGTGACACTATGATGAACTCGTGGATAAACTGTACAGAATATGATAATACATGGTACCGGATTTCACTAAAAGCCAATGACCCTGAAATTTAAAGAAATAGAATTGAACAGTTATTCCCACAAGAATCTCAACAAATTCATCAGCCATATTCAATTTAACAAATCGATTCTGGTCTGTACTCTTATCTACAACGATATTCGTCATCACAATGGTCAAAATGTTGTGGACTTACTTGGCTGTACCTCGTGAGTTCGCAACAAAGTTTGGGCAAGGTGCTAACAAGATCTAACAAATGTCGTTGTTGATTAGAGTACAGACCACGCCAAACCACTGTCGACTTATTTGTTACCATAATATTGACGTTGAATAAAACGATTCTTTCAGTGCGTGACCAGAGTTCGTGACTGTGCTTTTATCGACAAAGGCATTCCTGCAAGTTGTGGTAAAATTTATCATATGACCCGTCCGGCCCAGCGCGCGTAATCGTAAGGCTGAAAAACCACAGAGAAAGCAGACATGAAAAAGCCGTCCAGCCCTTGTGTACTTGTACGACTTTATTGCAAAAAAGGAACGAAACATTGTTCGCTGTTGTTGCAAAAGGGGCAACAGTAGACAAAAATGAATGACAAAGAAGTCACGTCTTCCGATAAATTGTGAGTTTCTTACTTAACCTGTGTTAAACGGTAACCCCGATTGAGGTCTCTTGATGTAATACGTCTGGAACTTAACCTTACAAAACGTGTCAAGGGGGCCGAAAGCTAACAGTGGAAGGACATTCATCTAATCGAGTCAATTCTTGTGTAGAAAATCCTTAAAGCCCACACTCATTTTTGCAATGATTAGTACAGTGTAATGGCGGACTGTTAAAACGAAAATTTGTTACTTACTGAAAATAAGAAAAGAAAACTGTCTTATTTCTGCAGTTCTCAGAAGGGTGTAATTTCACCAAAAATTAGATCAGAATTGGGTGAACGGGAAGACATATTCCTCTTTTTTCTTACCTCGAGAAACTTGAACTAAACGTTCCTGTCCTAAAGATTCCTCCCCCGACCCCAAGTCTTACTTGTCACAACTCTTGAGTGGTCTATACCCACAAACCAAGTACAGTAAACAATGTCGCTGGTAAAAAAACCTTTATTACAAAATATTCGCGGTTCTATTTACATCGAGCGTAGCTTGTTACTCCAATTATTAAAAATTATTTGCCTACCTGGTATCTTTGACCCAAAATTAAGATTTCACTAGGAACTACTGATTTTGTTTAAATATTAAAATCTACTAAAATTCATGAAGCTATTTAAGTCAATGAAACTAATGATAAGATACCTTGAAATCTGGTCGGTATCTCTGAGCGTTAGCGTTAAAAATACCAAACGTCTCTATAAAAACTAACGCAGGAAGTTCTAGTGCGGTTAGCTTACAGCTCGGATGCAGTAAAGCTTCAGACAGACTGTTACCACCGCTTTTAGTGATCCTACAATTTTGCATACCTAGAGTGGTTAGCTTGCAGCTTGAATGCTGTAAAGCTTCACATAGACTGAGAACACAGGTATCACCGATCCCTCTACACGAAATACGTAGTGTGGTTAGCTTAGATTTTGGATGCTTTAAAGCTTCACATAGACTGGCAACACCGATATCAGTGATGTCATTACCCTCAAGATATAGTGTGGTTAGCTTGCAGCTTGGATGCTGCAAAGCTTCACCTAGACTGGCAACACCTATATCATTGATCCCACTAGACTTCAGATTTAGTGTGGTTAGCTTACAGCTTGGATGCTGTAAAGCTTCACATAGACTGACAACACCGGTGTCAATGATCCCACTATAACCCAGGTTTAGTGTGGTTAGCTGACAGCCTGGATGCTTTAAAGCTTCACCTAGACTGGCAACACCTATATCATTGATCCCACTAGACCCCAGATTTAGTGCGGTTAGCTTACAGCTTGGATGCTGTAAAGCTTCACATAGACTGGCAACACCGGTATCAGTGATTTCATCGTCCTTCAGATTTAGTGTAGTAAGCTTACAGCTTGGATGCTGTAAAGCTTCACCTAGACTGGCAACACCGGTATCATTAATCCCACTAGACTCCAGATTTAGTGTGGTTAGCTTACAGCTTGGATCCTGTAAAGCTTCACATAGCCTGGCAACACCGCTATCAGTGATCTTAATATCATTCAGAATTAGTGTGGTTAACCTCCTTACTAATAATCGATTAATAAAATCAACATATTCATCACTCCAGTTAATTTTCACTAATCTAAGTAGAGACACAAGACAGTGTTCATTCTTCAGTGAATTACAGACTCGTTGTATTCCAGACAGTGTTAGACGTGGTCCGACAAGTCCTAAACTCTTAACTGTGAAAAACGTATCAGTATATTTGTGTTGTGCCTCTCCAGCTTCCTCTTTATTTAGTTCACTGATAATGTCCAACAAAAATGATGCTTCAACGCAGAGTACATCTGAGAAACACTCGAAAACCATGACGCCGTGTGATTGAAAAAACGCTTGGGGATTCTTCCTCATGAACTGTTTAACAAATTCTTTGTCTCGATACTCTTTAAGACACCTTAATCTAAGATGAGGAGTCATGGGTAAATCTATTAATTTTTCCATCAGTTCCTCGTTTTTCTCATTTTTCTCATTTTTCTCATTTGATAACACGCCGGCCATGAATTGGAAAACCATTTCAGAGCATTTCGCCGGGTCTGGAACACGATTCTCCTTTACAAACCAGCGAGCGGCCAAGAATTCTTGGACGGTCAGATGTGTGAAGCTAAAGTGCTTCGTGGTTGTAATCAGTGCAGTCCTAATAGGCTGACCACAGTAAAGAAGACCGCTACCTTTCAGTTTGTTGACCTCTTCTAGCTCAAACTCGCCTTCCATCTCGCTTTCATCAAAAGTTGGCTTTCCTTCAACCAGCAGTTTAGCCGCTAGTTCTGATAATTTCTCTAATGTGTTCTTGATGACAGGAGGGTGCTTGAAGTGCTCAGGAATTTCGTCCCGTCTGTATTTTGACTCGGCGCAGTGTTTAAGTTCAAAAATACCAAGAAGTTTGTTGTAAATGTCGGTTGTTGAGGCAGGAAGGCCATCAGGATTTTCTGATTCGGTTAGGGTATACTCCATCTCGAAGCACAACAGATAACAGAGCATAGGAACATGAGCAAAACTGACAAGGTTCTCATTGTTCATGACATGTTTAAGTACAGCGTTCTTCATATTTTCGTCGTTCTTGAAGTATTTCTCAATGTACTCTTTTACTTGTTCTGTCGAAAATCCCGCAATTTCCACGTACCGTTTAAAACGGATTCCTCCCATCTTATCCGATTCATCTAGTCGCGAGGTAATCATGACGATAGCCCCTCTCACGATTTTCCCTTTAATGAGTTTTGAACATAATGCGGCCACCGGCATTTTACGTCTAGCGTTATTGGGATGCTGTTCTTCTAAGTTTCCAGCGATGTAGTCTTGCTGTGAATACTCATCATAGCCGTCGAGGATGATCATAACTTCCTTGGGATGCTTTAAAATGTACTCAAATGTAGAGTCATCAATGTTACATTTGTCATCCAGAGCCGAACAACAATTTAAGATTTCTCTTAAAGTCACACAGTCATTTTCAAGCAAATTCAATTGACGGAAAGTAAGCAAATACACAAACTTTAAATTGGGGATTTCAGTGTTTTCTCGTGCTTGAAATAATTCGTTGTTGGCCCAATCGCGAGTCACCTTCTGGCAAAACAGGGATTTCCCAATCCCTGCTTTTCCAACGACAAGAATAGAATTAGTACTCTCCTGATCATCAATCGCACCAAGAAATATTTCACTGCAGTGCTTGACTGGAGTACCGCTGACTTTCCCGTAGCACTCAAGCACTGCTCTCCTCGAATAACATGTCTCGTCATCCCCGATGAGGTCTATTCTTCCATCTTGCATGAGAAGATTAGTGAATATTTCGTCTGTTTTCACGTTAGAGATCGTGCGAGAGGCAAGCAGTTTGGGTTGGAACTCCGTACAGTACATAATTGAAGACTTTAGAGCTGAAGTGTAGGCACTTACGGCTGAAATATAAAAAAGGAACATAATAAATAATATGAAGACGAGGATAGCAGTTTAAGTACTTTCACTCTTGCTCCACAGGGTTTAACTGTTTGGAGAGCAGGTCAATTAACAAACAAGCCCTTAAGACAAAAATCTTAGGCTTTATTGGTCTTACTCTTAATGGTGAAAAAAGAATAACAAAGTAAAAGCACATTAGTACCACCCATAGTTCTAAACCTTCAAGTAGAAGCTTAGTCTTGAATATAAATATCTAGTCTCGTGTCTGACAGAGAAACAATTCCAGTATTGGATATCACAGGCCCAACTCACGGACCCTATAATGGTTAAAAATTGGTGGAAGGAAGGCCCCCCCCTCTAAGAGGTCCTGGTCTATCAGATACCTCTATCAGATCCTCTTGTCTCACACCCAAATTCTTGAAACAACAGGATCACATATTACTATCCAAAGATAAATAATGGTAAAACTTAGGCTAGTCTTGTCAGATATCTAAAAGTAGATTATCCTGCCATCAGTAAGATCTCTGAATTTAAATATCTAATCTTGACAATATTTATTCACTGATCCACATCTCAGTCTAAATATCTTGTGATTACAAATATATCAAAAATATCTATGAAAATGTTCAAAACATATAAAAAAAATAAGGGGAAAAAGACAATTAAGAAAATTCACGTGAATGAAAATTATTATAAACAGAACAGCCATGATAACAAGATCCCTCTGCAACTTGCGTCTTACTGCACGCAGGTGGATTTGATAACTCTGCCGCGTAGCGCGCCAGTGCCCTATTTAGTATTATTAAAAGTAAAATAATTCATAAAATAGTAAGGGCAGTGTCATTTGATACACTTTTTACATAACTAGATTCAAAGAGTGTTCATCACGTCTGCACGCAAATGTTGGCCGCTTAAGCGTGTTCATAGAAGCAGTATTCCTACCTCAAAGATTAAGCATACATGTTTATTAAATAAACCCTCTCGGGCGGGTAATATGTCAGCTAACAATGTCCACGGCTGAGAGATTGTCCGAAAAATTAATAATTGGCCTAAAAACGAAGCTTCCAGGCTAAATGTAAAATTATAAGGGCAATATCTCAGCCAAGAGCATCGTCAGTCAACATACAAGCAAGCCAGAAAATGCTTTATTTATTTTCGAACCCTTCCGTTAATTTTTAGATAGAGAGGAAACCGCCCGCAAAAAAAGCCGGTGTTGATCTGATGGTGGATGTGTATCTGCGATCGGCTTTTTAATATCACTGGAGTCTACAAAACGAGTTCGTTTTTCTTTCGCGCAAAAAAATAGAGATGAAAAGATAAAACTTTGGAGCAGAGTCTTTTCTGCTGACTTTGTTTCTTTTCGACGGATGTATTTGGAGAACAAATATCGACGTAAGCGGAGGTTAATGCGTGTTTAATCATGCAGGAATCGTTTCATAACTCCCATCAAGTCCTACACCAACTGCTTTATTCTGACAAACATCCTTCCTTTTTAGTTTAACACTCAAACGAGGCTATAACTAAACAATGCCTATTGTTACATCCTTTTCCTTATAAAAAAAAATTAAAACAAAGACAAAAAAGGTAAACAAAGTTCAAAGTTTGTGGAACGTAGAAAGCTTCCGGTCTTATCTAGTTTGGGACGAAAGTCGAGCTAAAAAGCAGTTGTGCATCCTAATTCCCTGAGTAATCTCGATTGGATGGGAGGCAGGGCATGGGAGAGGTAGATCGAGAAGTAATTTTTGACACCCCCTCTTCCTCAATCACAAATTTCTGAATCCCCTCCCTACACTTGCCTGTAGAGCGCCCGCAACAGCAAAGTCATCCAAAAGGTAAATTTAATTCAGACCTCAAGTTGCACAGGAAGAATGGTACACAGTGGCAAAGAATCCAAAAACGTTAGGAGGGAGAATGTTTCTTGATCTGCAAGTTATTAACTAACCTCTCTGTTATAAAATCAGTTATTCAGGGAAAGAACCGCAGCGTCAACAACAAGAGTATAATGATTGGAACAGAAATAAGAAGGAAGAGTAGAATTCAGCAAATTTGGGTGCAATATGTGGATTAAAATATGCAGACACGAATACAATGATCATTGAATTGTTTGTTTTCAGAGGCATACATTACCAAATGGCTGACTGGAAATCAATACCAATTCAATAGAATTAAACATATTGGTATAATGCGAAAGGTTAATAAAACATTGATGAACTCCTCTTTCAAGCATTAAAATCAATAACAAGTCTTATCAATGTAATTTACGACCAAATCAAAAGTGACGATAGTAAACAAATGTTGGGCAAATAATTATTTTTCCTTATACAAGAGCTGCAGCATGAGTATTAAACCTGTTGTCATGAAGTTTTACATTTCTTGTTTTATGAAAAGCAGTGCTACTCCTGTAGTTAGGACCCAACAGTATTTATTTAATTTCATTTTAAATAGTTCCACCAAAAGTAAAGTGAGAAGTCTTAAATAAAGGTACATACCACTCTTTGTCTTAAATGTTCTGACATCTGGCTCACTGTCTCCTTGTTTGTTGACAGCAAACAGTTTTACTTCATACTCTGCGTCATACTCAAGACCAGTAATCTTGAGGTGAGTTTCAACAATATTTTCTCGTTGAACCATTTCTGTGGATCGTGTCATGGGTTGTTTCCTCCATTCCAGACGGTATTTAATGCTGCAATTACTGCTGTTAGCCCCAGCTTCTGACCAGGTAACCACGAAATCCTTGTCAACTTCTGCTTCTGTATTTGTGATGGTTGGTTTCTCAGGTAAACCTGTTCAAAATGATGCTTCTTTTAAACTCTGTCTCTAATAATACATGTCAGTTTAATCACTTCAACAAATAATATGAATGGAACTGATGATGAGAGTTAAAACAGTCGTATATAAGTTCACTGTTAATCATTAACTATTATTATTATTATTATTATTGTTATTATTACTATCATTATCACAGATATCACTATCCTAACAAACATTGTCTGTAGCACTATTATCATTCTCTATCAATGCATGTTCACAAATTATCTCAGAACACTTATTACCTTCTATATCAAGGAAATAAATTGTACTCAACCCTTACTACAACTAGTTACCACCTGTCAGGTTGATAAGTTATGGACGTAATAACACAAAGTATTTCATTCATCAAAACATGTTGGACTTACCTTGAGAGGATAATTCATTGGCACCTAAATGAAATAATAAAAAAAAAATTAATGTTGTCTCTTTAAACCAATTTACCTGAGAAATTTATTTACAATCTGATTCATTCATCTCAAACTATATTATGTCAGATTCCAAAAAAGGGTAAAAAAACAACAACAACAAAGAAACAGAACCATAAAGATGTGTGCTGGCATTTATCACTTCCCTTTCCATTCCAATAGTTTTCACATCAAAATACAGACACACATGCAGTACTTGATGAATCTATTTTTTCAGTTTAAAACAATTTGATGTGTTGCTTATTGGCCCAGGAACATATATCAAATTTCAGTACTTCAAATCACTTTGGCAAATGTCATTAGCTACTGAATTTTCCATATTTTGGTTGTGTTGCATAAACCAAGCTAATTATAGAATACAGGTCAGTTTGCCTGGCTCATGGAGTGAATTGTTATTCATCGTTACATCATTTGATTTAAACACAAGTTTTTTTCTCCCACCACCATAAGAGGCCTTGTTAAACCTACAGGTATGTAAACTCAAAATAAGGGTAACTTATAATTAATTTCTAATCTGTGAACTATTACAGAATAATTAACTCATCTTGATTTATAATCCATACAAGAATATGCTGAGGGAACTTAGATCTTAGTCAGACCTATCCTTGTAAAAAGAGAACATTGAGACAGGAAGCAATACCTGCATTAAAGTGAGGCCAATCTTGGAATATGACTGGATTGTTTAAAATGTGTGCCACAACAGATGCTGCCATCACACAGGCAATTTGTTTCCATTTCTTACTTGAAGACTGCGTTTCATCTGCAGAGTCTTTGATGCCCTTGACTACCACCCATTCTAACTTAAAATCATGGGCTGCCGCATACACTCCTGGAAAAAAAAACAAAAATGTCTGTTAGCTATGTATTAAGCTTATTTTCTTAGCATCCTTAAAATAATTGTTCAATCGAATCTCACACTCTACCTGTTTGTAAACATGCACATTCCACAAAGACGTTAGTTAGTACTGAAATCTATTCTTTTTCAACTAGTACTTTAAAAAAAATTGTACACTGAGACTGTAAAAATTATTCTTCAGGCTTCAGCTTGTTTCATAAGTAACTTTCAACATTTCTCAAAAGACAAACTTCTGTCAGATAGAGTTAACCCTTACACACCTAAATCATCTCTTCCATAATTCTCCTTAATATCTGTCATACAATTCCTATGATGTTAGTTAGGAGAATTTGGTTTTGGATCAACCAATAATCCCCTAATTGACACTTTCTTTCTCTTTTCCCTTTACTTGTCTGCTTGTTATCATATTAATACTGTGATGAGAAACTCTGTCTTGGTCACTCATGGAAGTTTCAGGGTTAAGTCAGGGACTGTGATACTATTCCTCAATTCTCAAACTATTTAACAAGATACTTTCTACATTTTTCAGATGACAAATTTAATACAATTCATGACATCCCGAAGGAGCACATTCATTGTAGTTATCCACAGTACATCTCAGTCACCTTCACATGCAAAAAATCTTCCTACCCCAGCCAAACATAAAATCACTTTAAATACACACTATATAATTCCTGCAAATTTGGCATGCTATATAGTATATGCTATTTCTTGGACCAGCAGGGATAATACCAGAGCAGTGTTTTTCAAAACACTTCCTTTGAGTGAAAACATTCTTGGCTCATCAATTATTTGAATTATTACAATTCTTACCTCCACCTTCCATTTCAACTGCAATTGCTTCAGGAAATTGGCAAATTTTATCTCTGTTGGCCTCTGAGATACTCAGAACCACTCCATCACCATGCACTTTGGCATTATATTCATCTGCAATTTGTAAAGGTGCCTTCCACCCATCAGCCACATGTTTGATCAGGTTTCCAATATCTCTGCTGGGGGGAGTTTTGTGTGTGGCTGTTATCAGCTTTGCTGAAACAACTACATCTCCTAACTTGACCTTTTTGCTGTTCAAACCACTGCAGGCACCAACAGAAAATATAGCCTTAGGTCTCAGTAGCAAGATGGCATCTTTTGAAACAGACAAGGGACCCCCCAGGAACATCAGGACCTTTGGAGCACCTCATCAATGCAATTTTCATCTTCTTTCCTTGATCATCACCCATGCACCCAAAGTACACAGGGCCAGTACTGATGTGGTAACTATTAAAGGGTTCCTTCAGGTAGGCAAAGCAGCTTAAGAACTCACAGTCCTCCACAGTTAATAAAAGAACATCAACAGGAAGTTCAACAGTTTTCCAAGGATTAAAGATTGTGTGAAGATCACTCAACTCTGGAAGTTTCACACTGAGCTCTGGTGGGCTGCTATTGCCAGTCTGTGCTGATGTATTTTCCCCTAGCATTATTGCTGTCCCTGAGGAAGAAGGTTGTAGTTTTTTTTCGGATAAGAAAGATAAAAAAAAAGCAAATTATGGTTACATTTAACATGTCAGGAGAATAAAGATTCACAACTTTAATTAAGCATAATTGTGACTTTTAAAATAAATCTGCAGGAAATTCATATCATCTAATGATCTAGTATGATCAACTTACATTATTGACTCTACAAAGTTTTTTTTTTATTAAAAACTCAGGTTTAACAAAACATTACACACACCTCTCACACATGAATTTTGTTCAGAAATGTCAAATGAATCCTCCATGTTCCCTCCCTCCCTCGCCTTTATCACAATTTTGTCTTCATGCAATTTTTCTGTGATGCAGTCATTAACTTTCAACCACTCTTTCAGAAGCTCTCGGTAGCTAGTGTTCTTCAAGATCGGCATCCATACAATGGAGTGTAGGATCATCTATGACTTCCTCATAGCGGGTCCCTCCAATACACAGAAAGGTGTCTTTGATGTTGTTCCAGTACAAACTAAAGGTTTCATCATCAACTGAAGCATTAGCGGCATGACTGAAAACTCTGTCCCTGAAAAACTTGATGCGAGTGATGTTAGCTTCTGGAGAGGTGTCTGATCTTGGAGGAAGGTTATTACAGCCAGAGGCAGGGAGAGTCAGACCTAGGATATTTCTCAGAAGAAGTAGCAGCAGGGAGCTGTCAAAGTTCCCTGATGAAACTGATGATTTGACGACAGAATACAGTTTCTCCCACTGGGAGGTACTCAGGACTCCCTTCTTTTGAAGTGTTTGTAATTTGGCACGGTTTGTGGGATTTGTCAGAACTGCCTGAAGGTTTTCTGGTGGACATACCCTGTCAAAGATCTCCCTTAGAACATGTGATCCTACTTCAACAAGAAGGCGACACAGCTGGGCATAGTTAGAGGTTCCTTTTGTAGAAGGATATGATGGAGTGGCAGAAGCCATGGAGACATGTCTTCTGTAAAGAAAAATACACACAAAAGTCATTATTTGAACTTCCTGCTGCCAAAATTTCCTTCCACGTACTTAACATTAAATTTATTATCACCCAACAAATTAATACAACAAGAGTGATGTGTCTTCCATTTTAACCCTTCAACCCCTAAGAGTGATTGGCTTCTACTTTCTCCTCACAGTATCACTCATGAATCAAATGTAGAGGTCACAAGAATAAAGGAAATGATCACCAATTTAAGAAGTTCCTGATTGTCAAACAAATTCTCCTTGTCTGTTCCATAGGAAATGTAAAGAGAACAGTGTGGAGAATATGAATACCAATGTCTTAGGGTGTTAAGGGTTAAAAAGGCAGATGGGGCAGGAGGAACACACACAATTTTGTAAAACCCTCACAGTAATGTACAAATCTCAAGAAAATGTACTGTTCGTCTAAAGACTCATTAAATCTGTTTAGATTTTCCACACAAAAAACATGCTACTGTACATTTCAATTAGAATCTTTTTATCCATTTAAGATTATTTCTAATCCAAAAAAGTCTCTTGAGTGATCAAACTTATAAAACAGCTTTCATTTGTCAAAACAACAAAAAGAGATTCTCTCTGGCTCTAAGCCATATATACATGTCAACCACATATTTACCATGCAATTTGCAATACTTAATTCCAAGCAATTTTGGTTTTGTATTTACTGTTCCGTGAAGAGAAATAAATTATCATGGCCATGATGAAAACAAGTTTCCTCGTTTTTCCCCACAAGGTTTGCCTATAACATCCCTCAAAATTTCAGAAAAGTTTTGAAGCACCCTGTGAGATCAGTTACTGTTCTTGGTAGCAAAAAAAGAGTCTGTACTCAAGCCTATTGGCCCCCTGTAGAAGGAGCTTGCCTTGGTTTCCTTAGCATAAAGCTACTACAATAATAACAATTCCCCCCCTGGATGGGATGCCAGTCCATCACAAGGTTCCCCCCCCACCACCAGCATTTCATCAGGCTTCCCTAACAATTCACCAGTACCCATTTATACTCCTGGGTGGAGAGAGGCATGGGGAGAGTAAAGTGTCCTGCCCAAGAACAAAACACATTGACTCAGCCAGGTCTTGAACCCAGACCTCTGGTACCAGAGTCCAGTACACTGACCATAAGGTCACAGTATGTCTTCCACTGTTGTTAGTAAATGGCAATGTTCATCACTGACAAAAAATAGTATGGTGCTCTCCTAAGATCACACTCAACAAGTTGCATAAAATAAGTACAACCCTCAATTTTAAAAACTTGCCAAATTTTTGCAGATCACCAAAATTCTGCTAATCTTCAAAAGAGCCATGTCCTGCCTCGGAGGCTTCCAAATTTTGGCATACCAAAGTATCTCACTTTTTTTTTTTTTAACCATTTAGCTGTCATTGTATGTAAGACATGTCTAGATAAAATTTAAGCTGGAAAAATACACTGTGGTCTGCTAGTGTAATTCGGGGCATGCAATGGCAAGACACAATACATGGTCTCAATCTCAAAACCATCACTCTACCAGATGCAGAGACCTCAACCAACAACAGTTTCAAAAGCAAGCTCTATTTGTGCAAAGTATTTGCCTTCTATGTCTAAAAGCTGAAAGTAGCTGAATAGAAGCCTGTTGATAGTGACTACCAACAATGTGAAAAAAATTGCCTTGTTGTTTTGCTCTGAAAGAAATGCAAGATTCCATTAAAACCTGGACAAAGCTGTGAAGATAATCATTTGAAAATGATCCATTCTTTCCCAGTAATTTGTGCAAGAATTTTTCTTTATCTTTCAATAGAGGGAGGTGAGTTTGTGATTGATGTATGTGTCAATCAATGAAGTTTTGGTCACAGGATACTGGTTAGTTGCGACTGCTGCCAAAAATTGGAAATTGCAAAATTTTTGCAAATTTTTTACAAGCCAAATTCACATGCTCTTAATACAATAACTAATTAGATGGTTTATCCCCTTTGACAATAAACTCAAAACAATTACTTTTTCGGGCAAGCAATGTAGCATATGGCGCAATAAGAAGAAAAGTGTTACAAAGGTTTCTTTGTTGGTCTGCATGTACTCCATTTCAAAGACTGTAGGTATATTCACTGACAGCAAAGATTCAATCACTTGCCGTTTTCATAGTGTAAATAAAGAAACATCAATGTTTTGTTTCTGGTTCCATGAAAGTTATCTCCTCGATAAATATTGTTTGTACACAACTTTCATGCTGAAATGCTCAATGTTCAAAGTTTTCAAGTTGAAGTTAGCAGAAACAAACATCATCTGTTGTGAGGCAGCTTGATTAGCTTTCGTATATAGAGAGAATCCACATTAAACTTACGCGCAAGGGAAGATCAGTAACATTTCTTTCACACGATGCATATTCAGTTTAACCTCGCAGGAATTGTAAAACTGTAACTGCATTATTTGTGGATCGAATCCAAACTACTTTCTGAGTTGTATAAATTTTCTATCGATGCTGGCATCCAAAGTCAGTTGTTCGTTGCCCGTCAAAGCCTGAAAATTTTCCGAAAATTTGTCCGATGATAAGCATGTTTTTCGTACACGTCTTTAGTACCAAGAGACCAACTCTAACATGTTTAAATCCAGCCTAGCGAATCCAACCAAATTAAGCAATATGGAAACAAATAACGATTCAACCTCAAAAACTGGTGAATGTAGACATATCAACTATTACAATTCCCAACGGATTCGAAAATATGAACCTGTTTTCCAACAAACGGGAAGTGCTGACCGAAGCACTAAGCTACGTAGTCTAACAATTTGGCACTTAAGACACTATTTCCTCGCTAGTAGTTTCAGGAATCGAGGTGAAAAGTATATGGTAAATCAATGACTCTACCTTGGCGAGAACCGTCTGCTTAACAACGTAAAGTAAGTCTCTCGAAGTAGAAATCAACCATGTAGGGCAGCCAAATACGTGCACCTTGCATAGTGCTTCTCAAACTTCACTGATCATCTGCCTCTATTTCAGCCATTTTGAAAGTGTTAGTTTCCGGGGCTTTTTGTTTAATCTGACTTCCGGTCATTGCTATTTCCGCTTCCTCATCTTTTAGTTTTATTGAACATCTTTTAGTTATATAAGGTCACGCATGAATGAGTCAGGAAAGCGATGTATGCTGCACAACATCGATGTATGACATCCAAAATCGATGTATTCCGGATGAAATTGATTTATTTAATTTTACATTAATGTATCCATGTTCGATATTTTGTCCGTAAAAAGAACCTCATACCTAAGCGGGTCACCCCACCTATCTTGTAAACGTGATCATATAATCTATTATTTCATCTTGATCACGTTTACATGATAGGTGGGGGACCCGTCAAGGCGGGTTGCCCAGTCTACTGGGTAGGGTAACCCCTGTCAGCAAGGGGCAACATTGCCATGTAAACGTCTCAAGGTCGGTTAACCCGCCCACGCGGGGCGCCGTTCATGTTACAAAAGGATCAAATAAGGAAAACAACAGCGAAACACGAGTGTGTTAAGACTTTGTACATTTCTTGGTCTTCCCATGCAGAACTAAAACGTTAAAACATCAATTTTTACATCCACTTAGCAATAAAACCTCGACAGCGATTTAGTCACGTTTTTACTTTTAACTCAACACTACATTCACACGTTATGCCAAAGTGAAGACGTTGTATTGTCAGAAACGGTTAATGCATCGAGCTATTGGCCAAAATCTTAGAGGAAAATTAATTACGTTTTTTCTGCAACGTTTTTACGACACGTCCTAGTGACATCTTAAACTCCTTAATTGCAAGTGTGATAACAACCTCGAGAAACTTCATCCTGGCATCCCGGGGTTGTAAGATTGTATGTAAACGCTGGTTATTTTTAGCCCACGGTTAGGCGGGTCACCTCACCTACCTGGGGTCCCCCACATTCATGTAAACAGGCCCTAGGGCAATGAAATACAGGTTGGTGGTTGATTACTATTAGCCTGGAACTTCTTCGACTGCAAAACTGAAGATAGTATTGCTTACGTATTGCAGTCGGAAAAAAAATCGATCAAGTAATAGTGCCAGAAGGGTCCACCAAGTATATCCAGGCACCGGACGTTTCATGGAACAAGCCGTTCAAGGCCACTTGCACTTAAAAGGAATGATTGGCTGGGTACCGTGGGAAGTCACGAAGAAACAGCTCCTGAAATTTGAAATTATCCCCGAAAAGTACCATTTTGGAGTGAATTCTTGATTCTTGAGCAGAGCTACCCAGAGAGGTAATAAAAAAAACTCTCTCGAGCTGCATGTTGAACCTTCCCGTGGACGACATGATTCACTGCCCCAAGGAACGACAGCCTTGTGGCAGTGCACGATTATTGCTTCTATCGCAGTTGCAAGTTCTGAGTAAGCAAGGCACAAATCCCTTTGAATGTACCGGTTCTGATTTTGAGAAAGCACATCCGTCATTATATCTTTTGGATTCGGATCATGAAGAGGACAGAGACATTGAAATTGGGTGAACTATGTTCACTTTATTTCACATGAAGTATTGCAGTAGTATTAACACGCAGATTGTGAAATTGAGGACAAGCACTAGAACGTGTTTTTGTTTTTTACAATTAAAATGGTCAGTTACCATACTATTGTTTGCAAAAAGGAAAATTGAATTTTAAATAAACGCCGCCCTCGAATAAACATCGCACTTGAATCACGAAAATTTTAATAAACGCCGCGGCGTTTAATCGAATGAACATGATAAACATGATTAGCTCTATATTTAAGAGAGCTCCTTTGTAAGAAATTTTTATAAGAGTTGTTTACAGTCTGTTGCACCAAGTTCTATCCAGCAATCTTTCGATGAAAGAATTTATAATTGGTGCCAATCCTGATCTTCCTGCAGCCAGCTAATTTCCCCAAGGTCTTGCAACAGGTAGGAAATCGACAATCATCCCTTCATATCTGGGGCTCTTCTGACTCGTCATTAAGTACTAGGTTTTTGCGGAAGTAGGCATCCGCCGGCACACATTACCATTTTAGAGTTATCCACAACAACTTTGTTTACCTCGTCCCTATTGTGTCCCCACCTCCCCCTATTGTCAATCCCCCCCCCCCACAAACCTCCCGTTCAGGAAGCTTTCAGTGATCAAATTTCATTGAATGGCTCTGCAGCTCGCAACAGAAATAAAAAAACAATGCCTATGAATGTTTTTTTGTCTTGGTTTTTAATGAACGAGAGACGCTCGAAACTTTGAAGTAATGGAGCCAGCTCATTCATGTTATGGCTTAGGTTTAAATTGATTTCTTGGACTTGCTGAATATAGGTGCAGATGAATTCGGTTTATGTGAACTTTCAAGACTTTTGGAATAAATTTTCTTTTATTTTTGGGCAGTTGTGTGATAAGAAAACTTGTGCATTCGTAGTGATGGGGATCGGAAAAAAGTTTGTGTGGGCTGGAGGTGGGATGGGCAGAGGTCATTAGGCAGACTACGCCCTCAGTTGGCTGCAATATATCTCATAACGCTGACTGCCGCAGTAATTATCTATTAAATATTCCTTGCCCGTTTCTTGATATCTTTTGTTTTAAACAAAGCGGCCATTGCATTTGATTTTTAATAAAGCGGCCACAATCGTTCCTAATAGAATTTCAAGTCTTCATCTAATCTGATTTTCACATATTAATATTTGCGTAGTCACCAAACCAACGAGAGATAAAACCACCAAAAAAGTTCACAAATGGCCAGTCACGAGGGCAACGCTTATTTTTCCCTATAAAAATTCTCCGGTTTCTCATGAAAACCAATGACAATATAAGACACTAAGGGAAATCAGTATGTGTACACTTCTGAACGTTGAAAATACATCAAGTCGAAAGAAAAGTTCTGGTCTTGGTTCGCATTTTTGTCAGCAAAATGAACACATATCGGTTAAAAGATGAATTTCTCGAATATTGCGCAAGTTAAATATTCAATAGTGGCATCCATTTACATCCACATCTACTTTTAGTAAGTTGGTAAATTCTGGTTGGTAAAACGCCAACCAACTCGCGCGGAAAATGAGAATACTAAACGAGGCTTGAAAAAAATTAAGAACGATTGTGATCAAGAGACAAGCAAGGAATGTTCCACAATAGTGCAAATAATCGCGAAAGATGATCGCGGAAAAGCACTTGCGTGACGCTCGGTAAGTTGTAAGATGCCATGTTATCACGTATCAGACGAAAAAACAATACAAATTCTCAGTCTGCATTTTGTACCCGGTCTGCGGTCCGTAGTCTGCGTTTTGCACAGAGTACGAAGCCATCCAAGCGCTTGATACGGCTGGACACGGTCCTCAAATAACTCCATATTTCTCTTTGAAATATACTAATTTTTCATTGGAAAATATTCTACCTTCATTTACAATCCTCAAGCGCTTCTAAAAAGTGAAAAAATGCCAACGTTGTCCGTTTCGCTGGCCTTGTACACAGAGTGCGAAGAGATCCAAGCGTGACACTAAGAAAATTTTCACCAGACACTACCGGACACGGTCTTTAAATAACTAGACGTCCGGCAGTCTGATATTTTTCCATATTTCTCTTTGGAAAATACCAGTTTCTATTGGAAGTATTTTGTCTTCATTTAGAATCCTCAAGCGCTTCTAAAAAGTGAAAAAATTTGAATATTGTCCTTTTCGCCGACTCTTCATAGAGTACGAAGAGCTCCAAGCGTGTTCAGGGTAGCTCTTGAGAAAGACGATTTTAGAAGGTTTTTAGTGATCTGGGAATTCCGTGTTACAGGAAATTGGGTCGCGTCAAGGTTGAAAGGCGTTGCATCAAGGTTGAAAATGGGCCTTTAACTTGTAACTGTAGGATAAAAAGAGGCTCCGAAAACAACAGTGAAATAAACAAATTCTCCCAGAGTACCATTCTTTTTTATTACGATAGATAAGGTATGCATCATTGCAAGAAGATTTCTTTTCCAGATTGCAGGAAAATGCGTTTCTGGGAGACTTATCTTTTAAAAAATTTCCCGGGGGAGCATGCCCCCGGACCCCCCTAGAGGTTCGGGCCTTCGGCCCTCAATTTTCAAGGGAACCTGCCTACTTTAAAGGCAGTGCCCTTTTACTTCAAAGTTGTTTTAATTAGCGTCTTGTTGACTTTGATTGCCTCAGCAATACATGTAGCACCCGCATCACTAATACCATTACTTCACAAATCCAAATTGGTTAGCGTCTTGTTCACTTTGATTGCCTCAGCAATACATGTAGCACCCGCATCACTAATACCATTACCTCGCAAATCCAAATTGGTTAGCGTCTTGTTCACTTTGATTGCCTCAGCAATACATGTAGCACCCGCAGCACTAATACCATTGTAAGACAAATCCAAATTGGTCAGATTCAAACCAGTTCCAAACGACTTCGATAAATGCGAGTGAAAATCACTTTTTTCTCTTTTGCATTCGTTGATGGCCTCCAATACAATTTTTGCAACACGGCCTTCAATTTCGTTGACTTCATTTGTTAAACTCTTTACAAGAGCCACAACCTGTTCATCGCACTTCATGGCCAAAATTCCACATGAAAACAAAAGTATTTGTTTAAGTTCAACGAAATACCTTGGATCGGAAACTAGTTCTTCAGGTTTCATCTCCTTGCTTTGAATCTGAGAACAAATGAAGAATGCTGCAAAGAATTCTTGAAAACTTTTATGTAAGAAGGCATAGTGCAGTGTTTGTCTCAGTTTGCTGCCACCAGGCTGCACTGACAGAAATCCAAATTCAGTCAGGTCTTTTGCATGGTTTCTCAATTCACTTTCATTAAAATCCAACTTATCGTCAAGTAACCCATTCAACGCTACCTTTCCAAGGTGATTCAATTGCGGTTTGTAATGGTTTGTCAAGTCTCCGATCTTTTCTAGTAGTCCCTTCCTTTTTCTATATCTTCTCAAAACACATTCAACCATATCCAAGTACAGTTGAGCTCTGCTTTCTGGGAGTGTGCCCTCAAACTCTTCGCATAAAAAGGCAAAGAAGTGCTGTGTTTAGAGGATTGGCCGCTATTTCTCTCAGGTTTTTATCTCGCGACATCCGTTGCGAGAGCTTGTGGCTAAATCCGTCCTTTCTTTAAAAGTACTTGGTGACAAATCCTTTCACATGCTCTTCAGTAAATCCTTCGATCTGAAGCAGCACGTCACAACATTTTCTCACCTCTTTTCCAGCTTCGTGTCTTGCTGTTGCAACTATGTGGCATTTGGGGAGCACTCTTCCTTCAATTAATTCGGAAAACATCGACAATTTACTGGACGGTAACTCATCCAATCCATCCAATATCAATAAAATGCTGGACTGATTTGCACGAATAAAATGAAAGAATTGTTGTTTGACTTCTTCATCGATGTCTCGGGGCAGAAGCTGATCATCAATAGCTTCCCAAACGTCAGAATGGATATCTCGACATTTCAGTAACAATACCACTTTAAATGCTGTTGAGCCGCAGCCCTGAGGTTCTTGCTGTTTTGTGGCCCAGTCGTAGGCGTACTTTTTACAATAGGTGGTTTTTCCCATACCAGGTTCTCCTTCAATCAACACTGTTCTCGGCGCTGAACACTCTTCGTACGGGTCTAGTATTGACGACATGTCAACAAATACGTTACTGATTTCTCCTCTCGTTTTCTTTCTTCTGACCACTTTGAGCCGTGTAAAAATATTTCCAAGAAAAAACTGAAACTCTTCACACCATGGAAATGGTGAGAGCCATCCCTCGCGAGTCTTGTAAAGCTGGCGAATTCCATTGATAAGCTCAGTCGGATCAAAAATACCTAGCAGTAGCAAAATAAGTAAGAAATCTAATGAATGCAGCATTAAAAATTGTGGTGCCTCTCTGGTATTCGGCACTGGATTTAAATAAGTGAATGAGTACGATACCGTTGCCAAAGAAATTACTTGGACGATGCAAAAAGCTTTTAGTGTATGATTCATGCTTACTGATTAAAAGCCATTTAGATTATGAATTCAGGTAAACCTACTCTGTTTGTTCGGCTGACAGTGAAACTCTGTCGTAAAATAAATTACTCGGGAGATAAATATTCATATCATTGGAGCCGTAGACTACCGTAGTCTGAGAAAGGCTTTTTCGGGATTTACCGAGACTACGAACAAATAAATGGAAACCAAACAACGCCTTTGTGCCTTCTTTGTCACGCGGTTTCATCAAAAGTGCTGCAGAAAACCGGGGGCTCGCCTGCGATGAAGTGGGAGGTTTTTCCTACAGTCTTTTCCTTATGAACCTATTTTACTCAAGACGATCCTCATTCAACTATTTTCCCATGTAGAATTGAAAACTCCACAATATGAGCGTAGGAAGGGTTTAGTTATTTTATTCAGAAATATGCGGATTACATCTAATGCTACTAGGTATTCGGCACTGAATTTAAATTAGCGAACGACACCACTGCCAAAGAAATTACTTGGACGATGAAAAAGGTATCAATGTATGATTCATGTCAATTTACTGACCAAAAGCTATTTGGCTTGTAAATGCAGTGGAACCTGCTCTGTTAATTTCTAACATCGAGCCAATGTTAATGCCAATGTTTTCGTTAAAACTGTACTTCGTTTCATTTCGTTCTCCACTCTAATCAAAATATAAAGTTTTCCAGGCTAATTACGGGTGAAAGTTTGAACAATTGGGGGGAATGAAAGCACACCGTAGAGATTATTCCAGAGATTGTCTAAATTGAAAAACTGAATCTCTTTAACATAGGATGATATCTCCCTCTCTCACATACAGGCCATGTTGACTACGGCGAAATTTGCGGTTAAGCAGGATAACTTTTATTGTGTAATTCAACTGACCTTCATCCTTGCTTTCTTCCACTGAGACTGTCAAAGTACACAGCTTTTCCTTCACTTCTTTCAGTTCGCTGTCCATCTTTGCCATTTCGCCTATCATTTTCTTAACAGACCCTTTCGATGAATAACATTGGAACTTTTAGTCCGAGTGAGAGTCGCTATATTCATTAAAAGTTAACTAAATAGATCCTTTTCCCTTCCTGTGTTGTTGTTGTTGTTTTTTTTTAAATTTTTTCACACATAACGCTAGAATAACGTTCCAAATATGTGACTAGTTCCAACCAAAATGAAAACATGAGTTACCCTGCATTCCTGTGTTTCATCAGGCAAAAAAAAAAATCGCAGAGGAAACCTAGAGACCCGTCTGCAATGGAGTGGGAGGTTTTGCCTGCAGTCTTTTCCTTAGGAATTGTAAAATAACCACATACATCTTGTTCTAACCCATTTTACTCAAGGGGATCCTCATTAAACTATTTTCCCATGTAGAATTGAATACTCCACAATATGAGCGCAGGAAGGATTTGGTTATTTTATTGAGAAGTATGTGGGTCACATCTAACGCTACTAGGAAGTAAGATTCATTACGAGAAAGGTGATACGAAAAAAAGAGACGATAACTACGATCATACATATGTATGAGTGCTGTCAAAACACCATCAAATCCTAGAGGTAGCCAGGGCAGAATATCTCACATTCCGTGGCATCCCACACACTATAGAGTATCTTCATGTATAGCCAGTGTGAGTGGTGGCCAGGGTGTGCCTTTATATCAGTAAAGTACCAAAGTATGCTGTGTTGGCCGACATCCAGTGATTACCGTCATCATGCACAAGAGCTGGGTCATTTGCTCAAAAAAACAGTGACGCTCTTCATAACTTTTTTTTTTGAGTAGCTCTTTCTACCAACTAACCTTCTTGTGTGCTTTTTTCAACTGAGGCCGTCAGACTAGTAAGCTTTTCTTTCACCTCTTTCATATCAATCTCTCTCCTGTCCATAATGCTTCTCATGTTTTCCAGCATATCTGAAAATTTCAAAAGGTATGCGCATTTTCATAAGCAAATTTATATCACTGCTTCACGTTTAGGTGCAGATAAAACAATAAAATCTAATTCAATATCTAGTCGATTCCGAACAGATCAAACTCAATAGGACGCTTAGAAATCACAAAAATGCCCTACAGCAGTTGTACACGAGTACCCACGAACAGACCAAAATACTGCAAATGAACACACAGTGTCAACATTGGGGTTAATTCTTCATTTTTCACACATGACGCAAAAAATACCTTCCAAATATAAGACTAGTTCCAACCAAAATGAAAACTTCATGAGCTAGCCTGCACTGCTGTGTTAACTGAAAATATATACTTTTGTAGCCTTCAAATTCATCCACATTGGCAGTGGACAATGTTTTTCTTACCTTCAATTTCTTCAAGCTTGTCTTTGATGCTGTCGTCGTCTTTCTTCCATTGTTTCATCAGTTCACGATAATGCTCCTCGATAACTGGATCCATGCAGTCGTGCTCAAGATTGTCGATTTTAGCTCTAAAATGAGCTCCTCCCAGTCTCACCAAAGCTTCTCGTATTTCCTGCCAGTAAGCACTGAAACTACTGTCATCCACAGAGGCTTGAGGAGCATGGCCGTATACAGTGTTCCTGTAATACTTCACTCTGGCGATGTCATCTTCGGTGCGTATGTCTGTAGCTAGGGGAAGCTCATTCCATCCCTTGGTAGGAGTGCGCAGACTACAGATATTTCTAAGCAGCACTGTTAGCAGTGTGATGTCGAAGTCTTTAGAAGACACGGCTTTGTGAGTAGGGTACAACTTTCCCCACTGCGTAGGATTCAGCACTTTCTTCCTCCCTTTGTACAGTGATTGCAATGTGGCGTAATGCACTGAGGTTCTTCCCAAAACTGTATGTAGAGTCGCTGGTGGATGTATTTTGTCGAAAGTGGACCGAAGCACCTGAGATCCAACATCCACCAGGAGGCGGCATAGCCTTGCATAGTTGGTAGTCTCTTTCGTAGACGCAAATGGCGAAATAGCTGTAGCCATAATTCTAACTTTTCCAGGACGACCTGTCAAACAGAGAATTGACATTAAGTAATGTTAATCAAACCCATTCGAAAAAAAAAACTCCCGATAGCCAATTGAGACCTCTTGAGCAAGGAACACCAACGAAAGAACCTAATAAGAGATTTAATCTGAGATTTTTCATTTCAAATCAGTTTTTAGATTAAGGAAGAGTTTTTTGTTTTCAGTTTACAAACAACCAGAGACATAAACAGCAGAAATGAGAAGCGATTTGAAAGGTTAAGGGAAATGAGTTTGTATTTCCTCTCTAGGGCCTTAAAACCGGTCAGTTCTGGCTGGTTGACGTTTGATTCTTAATCATCATCATTATCATCATTTTATTTGGTAATGCAGGTTACAAATTGGCAGCCAGGAAGGCTGATGTGGACCTACAAATCACTAAAATAATTAAATGATATATACTATACTGCTAAGATAAAAAACTAATCTAAAAAGAGGAACAATGTTAAAATTTAGGAGAATAATAATAATACCCTATTTCGCTTAAGAAGTATTTAATAATAAAAGCAATCATTGCCAGCGTAACCATTATACCTAAACCTTAAAAACCTCCATAGCTCTAAAACGATCCACAAGCAGACACAAATATATAAATTACAGTGAAACATTAAAGCAAGACTGCACAACCTCCATTTACCACCCTGCAAAGATCACTGCTACAACTTGGTCACTTGAAGAATGATTACAAAAGCATCATCCATCACCATTCCAACAAGGACAAAAACTACATAATCAGAAGCAAACTACACTATGCTAGTGAAAAATTGTCGTCAATATGGGAATCAGTCTGTTACCAGGTCAGTTAATAGACCAACTCCGTGACTACACCAGGAAATACCAACACAACAAATACGGAAATTATATTACTTCAGGTCACGGTGCTTAGAACAATCACTAAATAGCAGCCTACAGCAAGAAGGCACCATTTAGAAAGACTGCTTATGGGTCAACTTGCCAAAACTCACGCTACACACCCTAACTATCCCAATTTTCATGGGATTAGGCAATACCGGGTATTAATCATTCCTTTCAGTGCAAAACTAAATGTAATTCCTTACAGGTATGTCACCCAACATGACACCAGGTCTCCCTCCCAGCACCCATATTCCTGGATGGAGGAGCAGCTTAAAAGGAATTTGAAGATTTCCTCCCTAGTCGCCATTTCACTATCGCACCTGGAGACATTAAAAGCACTTCTAAAACTCCGTCAATTCATGGTTTCTCTACTTATTGATGATTAGACCAGTACAGCCCTAGAAACAGATTGCACAGTCACTGATATGAAATGCACCTTTTTAAGCTATGTACTAACTCTACCAGATGAAGGTAACTCTAATTGTCACCAATACAATACAGAGTCATTGAAGCTCATGTACCGGTACAAAACGTGGTTTCTCAGTTCATTAAACTCCGAAACAATAACATCTAAGTCAACAGACTTAAAATTCTCCGTGATATTATCACCTTCATGAAAAAAATGTGTCCACTGGCAAAAATGTGTGTGTCTAACAGAAAAATCCACCTCTTGCAGTTACCAATACAATAAGGGCAAAGAAACTCAACAAACAACCTTGTTCTACATGCAGCATCAAAAGGAAGGGGATGCAACCTCCATCTGCAACTGAAACTGCAATGAAAAAGCAGCTAAATGTGATCACAAGTATGCAACAGACCTGCACAAGCATCACCCAATCACCATGCACTCTCATGAGGCCAGTAGGAATATAATTTCTAACAATGGAGCTTAATTCTGCTGAGAGATTTTCCAATGGTTTGGTAAACATTATTTTACCAGAAGAAAGATATTTTTATGCCCTGTCATGTACATGAGACAAAGAAGAAAATCAGAATCCCCATGAGAAGTTGAATTTTAGACCTTCAGCCAATTCCAGCCTCCACTAAGCCAGTACCAGCAACTATAGATCTATGGTGAGCAAGGCCATTTATTACTAGGTTCATATCTAGCACCCCTACCACAAACTGCTGGCAGGTCGTCAACCACTGACATTCATTATTCTGTCAACCGAAATAAGTTAGTAAATTAATTAGTAAATTTTCTCACTAACAACCTTCAGTTGTAAATTATCTACCCAATAGATTAATTTGGCATGAGTGACACTTATATTTTACATCTCCAATTGGTGTTCCAGTGCATTAATCCTTACACGAACAAAGCCCTAGACATCAAAATAAACTGCAGCCTTGGTATACACCACCACTTTCAAACAATTACAAAGTCCAACAGTAAAAAGAAGCTCTGGCCACTATTATAAGGATAAGTGCAGCATTACTATCCATTTGGCACCAATGCCATAGCCATATTTTCTAGCTGCCCCTGACCCATAATTATTTACAGCAAAACAAACATCTAAACACAGCTAGCACCTGGGGTTGCAGTGCTTGGAAGTTCAAATCTCTCATCACCTAGCACCTTAAATAATCAACCAGACAATCTTGGGCATATGGTTACCAAGATCCTTTTACAAAGAAAGATATACATCTATACAATTGCATGATCAGACTGAGTAATACGCATCCTTCAATTGGCCACTCCTAGAATGACCATAGAAATTTCAAAATAGCAGTTGTTATACTGTAGCAACATTACTGAGGCATTATCCATCACCACAACCACAAGGAGAAACTATTGATAATAATCTTGAAACAACATTGTAGAGGGTGATAAACTAAAATGATCATCATCCACAAGCACCATGCAACACACCTATTTGGGGATTTTAAATACATCGCGTACTGCTCTATAAGCGGGTGACCAACAATTGCATAATTGATAAAAACCAGTGCGCAATCTCCTTTAACATAATGCATACAAGTATAAGTCAGATCAACCACAAGTGAAAAAATCTCTCACCATAAAATTAGGTTTCCCTAACACTTCACCAAAACACTAAGCACCATACAAATCTGCAGAACACAGCCCACAAGTCAGTTATATCTGAGAGAAAAAAAAACTCTCTGCTAGCTGCCCTGAGGCAACTACTTCAATTAATAAAACTGAAAAGCTCCATACATGCAATCACCAGGACTCACATGCAAGAATGGTCAATATATACACTCGCATGAAACTTCTCTTAGCCACTGCAGCGCCCTACAATAATGACAGCAACCAGACAAACACTTAACTGCAGAGCTTCCAAAGAATATCATACACCTCCACTCTCAAAAGTAGATAATCTATGTAATGTGCATCACAGCAACTTCATTTTGGTAGAATATTGATCAAAACCAGTAAAAATTAGTGCATACTTTACTGTTTGATCATCATACAACACCTGCAGTTCCATGAACAGACCCAAAATTGTACCAATGCCATTACCATTTTTATATTAAGATAACTATTTCTGGTATTTCCACATGTTTGTAGCCAAACATAATCACAGCCATCAATCACAACATAATTAAATGGGTAATTAATATCATGTACAGTTCTTGATATAACATAAATACCAGGCAAAATAATAAACACTCACAGTACAGGTTTCTAATGTGACACTCAATTTTACATTGGAAGAGCCCTTAGGGTTACTGATAATGATGTTGAATTCAAATTTCTTCATCAAGTTGTGAAAACATTTAACTAGCCTCTAAGGAGCAATATTGATATTGTCCACAAGAGAAGAGTCTACTGTGGCTCCAAAGAGCTGAAAGGCATTGGACATTTCAATGTTCCAAGTCTTTCATTTATCAAGAGGCTTTTTAAATATCTTCAAAGAGATGTTTGCAAATAAATGATCAAATTTATAACTGCAGATTGCAGTAGTTAAACACTGCTTTGATTACTAAACTTAGATTGTTCTGAACTTTTTGTGAGCGTACTATTCATTGACTCTTAATAAGCCATTTGATACCATTTTGGAAAGTTACACTGCACTGAACTGTATGAATTGACAACTTTCTCTATAGTATTATCAGTGTAATGGCCTTTGAAAGTTGAAGTATTGCTTGTTGTAAGCTACATTTCTGAAACATTGCATGCTACATTTTAATTTGTTATCTTCAGATATTATAAAAGGTACTGACTCTAAATACGATATGTCTTTCAGTAAACTTAATTCACACTTGGACTCAAACTTTTTGAAAATTCATACTCCTCATGTCAGTGTGGTGTTGCTACTGCTAATGTACAGTTGTTGTTATGGTTATTGTCATTAGTGTTTAGTCAAAAACACTGAAAACTTAGATGTGATAAATTTGAACAAAATTGGTATGCATGTAGCATTTATTTCTCCCAAAAGAATTACCATAATTAAAGTCATACAGTCATAATGTCCATAATGTCTATAATGTGATGTCCGTAATGTAATGTCTGTAATATAATGTCCATAACATAAAGTGGGCTTTATTTTTCTTGCCTTTTTCCAGGATTTTGGTAATTTTTGTTACAGACATTATGTAATGTCCATAACAAAATAATGTTACTTGCTCTCATTTACAAAAGTACACCCATTTTGAAAAAAATCTCATCTGTAAGTTCTTCTTTGTGTTGAGTTCTGTTAGTTTTGTTCCTCTGGTGAGATTAAGGAATACATGTGTCTTACTTAAATCACTTCAAACCTTTCAGCATGCCAGCTATTTTCATACACTTTTCATTGGACAAAAATAAACAGCTCTCTTGGCCATTTCCCCCAAAGTCAACTTTCAGATTACTATTTTTCAAAAAATTTAGGGTCTCCTTATCCCAAAAATTCATGATTGGGCTGGATATGAAATATTTTAAATTTCACTATTGAGGCAGTTGTAAAATAGAATAGGTCATGATGGTTTTGGTTATTTTTACCATCTTGTTAAAATTGCTCTCGCCATCCGATGAAATATACTTTTACACAAATGTTTTGGCTGTCAATGGCTATATGTAATGGCAATTTATGAATATCTTGAACATTTTGGATTGTTTACATGATCTTCGTGATTCATCCAGCACTGGGTTAGACTTTGTGCTTCAACATCCATTACTACTATCAAAAGTAACCTCTCCACATGAAAAAAAAAATTTATGCAAAATCACCATGGTAGCTGCTAATTGCCAAAGGGTACCTTAAAGGACTTAAGTTAGGTTTAACTTGGCAAAACCTATGATAGACACTTTGCATGCATGTACTAATTTCCCAAGACATGCAAGCATGGGGTGATAATTGCTAATCCATATGTACTTTGTCAAGGATGGAACCAGATCTCTGCATAAGATCCGTTCCATATTCCTGTTTTAGGAGGGGCACTTAAAACTTTGATTTGACAGTGATCCAAAATCAAGTCTCTTAAATGTTAATATTCATAAGTCAACGTACAGTTAATTGAAGCACTCTACAAACCCAGCTGTACTCAGTAATTAAACCAGCAGTATATCAGAAGGACCACCAGAATTTCAGCAACATTTTCTAAGAGTATTTCCACTTGTTTGTAGCCAAACATAATCACAACCATCAATCACAACATAATTAAATAGGTAATTAATATAATGCATAGTTCTCAACATAACTTTACCAGGCAAAAAAATTAATACTCGCATGGATATAAAAGAAATGAGAGCGTGTAGAATTTTAAACATATGCAAACAGGACACAATTAATCCCAGCAAATAAATTATTAACTCTTTAATTCCTACATCAAATTTGTAATTCTCCTTTCTCCCAACCGTACAATTCTTGTTTCGTTAGTTCAGAGAATTTAGTATTGGATCAACTAATTATCCCCAAATTTCTATTTTTCTTCACTCTCATCACTTACATGTACCTGGTTGATATTGTGTTGATATTGTAAGGAGAAATTCTGTCTTGGTCACTCATTGGAGTGAAAGGGTTATTTACAGATTGACAAAATGAAGGCAAGTTTCAAAAAAATGGAAGCAGCAGAACAACAGTTACTATATATCAGTTATGAAAGACAATGACAGTCACAAATAAGGGCACTAACAGGTGCCCCGAGGTTATAAGTGGTTATATGCTCGTAAGAGTACTATTCATTGACTCTTAGCAAGCCAGTTGCACTTGCTCTCATTTACAAAGTACACCCATTTTGGAAAAAATCCTATCTGCAAGTTCTTCTATATGTTGAGTTCTGTTAGTTTTGTTGCTCTGGTGAGACTTAAGGAATACAATTGTGTCTTACTGAAGTCATTTGAAACCTTTCAGCGTGCCAGCTATTTTCATACACTTTTCATTGGACAAAAATAAACAGCCCTTCTTGGCCATCAATGGCTTTATGTAATGGCAATTTATGAATATCTTGAATGTGTTGGATTGTTTACATGATCTTCATGATTCATCCAGCATTGGGTTAGATTTTGTGCTTTGACATGCTACAAACATCACCAGAAGTATTACCTCTCCACATGAAAAAAATAATTTACACAAAATCAACATGGTAGCTGCTAATTGCCAAAGGATATCTTGAAGGACTTAAGTTAGGTTTAACTTGGCAAAACCTATGATAGACAATTTGCAAGAATGTACTAATTTCCCAAGACATGTAACTGTGGGGTCAATTAATATGTACTTTGTCAAGGATGGAACCAGATTTCTGCACAAGATCTTCCATAATCCTGTTTTAGGAGGGGAGCTTAAACTTTGATTTTATATACATTTATAAGTCTTAATCAGTGACCAAATTACCACCCAACACAGGAACCAAAGAGATGACTCAATCAGCATAAAATTGAGTCTCTCAAATGTTAATATTCATAAGTCAACATACAGTTAAAGCACTCCACAAACCTAACTGTACACAGTAATTCAACCAGCAGTATATTAAAAGGACCACCATAATTTCAGCAACATTTTCTAAGAGTATTTCCACATGTTTGTGGCCAAACATAATCACAACCATTGATCACAACATAATTAAATACTTTAGGTAAGTAATATAATGCATAGTTCTTGACATAACATTACCAGAAAAAATAATTGATACTACATGGATATGAGTGAAATAAAAGCATGCAGAATTCTAAACATATGCAAACAGGACAAAATTATTCCCTGCAAATAAATTGTTAAGTAAACCCTTTACCTCTCACAATAAATTTGTAATTCTCCTTACTCCAAACCATACAATTCTTATAAGGTTAGTTCAGAGAATTTACAGTAATATTGGATCAACTGTAATCATCCCCAAATTTATACATTTCTTTACTCTCATCACTTCTCTGGTTGATATTTTGTTGATATTGTAAGGAGAAATTCTGTCTTGGTCACTCGTGACAATTAAAGGGTTAATACAGATTGACAAAATAAAGGCAAGTTTCAAAAATGGGAGAAAAAAAGAGCAGCAGTCCTCCTACCTTGTATAGAGTTTCCTGGGTTCAAGAAAATAACCCTTGAATCAAGGATAAAGTCAGAAAGTCTGAAAAGACAAGCAGCAGAACAACAGTTACTATATATCAGTTATGAAAGACAATGACAGTCACAAATAAGGGCACTAACAGGTGCCCCAAGGTTATAAGTGGTATTAACGGCAACATTATATAATTGTATCAAAGTACTTTCTCATTGTCAGCCAAGTTGATAAATAAATGTAAATTCGCCTCTGCAATGAGGTTAAAAGCTGACAATTTGTTTGCTCTGAAAAAGGGCTATAACACTCAAAATGTCATCTTTTTAAATCTTATCAACTCAACTGATAATACTAAATTATCCTGGTACACTCTCCCATCAAGGCAGTACCACAGTTTCCTTAGAAACTTATACCCCCTTTATTCATTTATAATTATCAAAAGTCAACTAGAATTAAAAACAACAACAAACAACAACAACAAAAACAACAACAACAAAAACCACCATGATTCACAAAGGCTGACCAAATGTGACCCTCCATATGATTTCAGGGGACAAAGATGAGAACACACACACAACACATCAACACATTGTGCAGATTGCATAACTTTAAAATCTAGTTGTATTCCTTATTCTGTATTTAGATTTTGTGTTTGAGGTAAAACTTCCTGTTATGGACATTACACAATTTTTGTTACGCACATTACGCTGTGGAACTTTTTCTTACACTGGTAAGAATAAGGGAATATTTTTATTTATTTAATATGAACTTTTGATAATTGACTTTGTCAGAACTGATAAATTTATCTTAATCAGGCCCAATTACAAGTTAATTCTCTTTTTTTGGTTCAGCTGACAATCATAACATCAATACTAAACTTAGGTGTACATGTAACTGTGGTATCTGGGGTATTCCATAAAGAGCATGCTCCTTACAATTCAGTTTTAATGAGCATGCTCTAACTAGTGTTTCTCAGTGCTGTCTTTTTTTGGTTCTTGCTTTCTGGTGCAGATTTCTAGTGTGACACCAAGTTTTACATTGGAAGAGCCCTTAGGGTTACTGATAATGAGGTTGAAATCAAATTTCTTCACCAAGTTGTCAAAACATTTAACTGGCCTCTGAGAAGCAATATTGATATTGTCCACAAGAGAAGACTCTTCTATGACTCCAAAGAGCTTAAAGGCACTGGATGTTTCCATGTTCCAAGTCTTTCATATATCAAGAGGCTTTTTAAATATCTTCAAAAAAGAAAATGTTTTCAAATATATAATCAAAGTAGCTGCAGATTGCAGTAGTTTAAAACACTGCTTTAATTACAAAACTTGGATTGTTCTGAACTTTTTGTAAGAGTACTATTCATTGACTCTTAATAAGCCAGTTGATACTATTTTGGAAAGTTACACTGCACTGAACTGCATAAATTGACAAATTTCTCTATGGTATTATCAGTGCAATGGCCTTTGAAAGTTGAAGTATCACTTGTTTTAAGCTACATTTCTGAAACATTGCATGCTATATTTTAATTTATTATCTTCAGATATTATAAAAGAAGGTGCTGACTCTTAATATACATGTATATCTCAGAAAACTTAATTCACACTTGGACTCACACTTTTTGAAAATTTATACTCCTAATGTCAGCGTGGTGTTACTTCTCCTAATCAATGCACAGTTGTTGTTATGGTTATTGTTAATGGTGTTTAGTTAAAAGCACTGGAAACTTGGATGTGATAAATTTGAACAAAATTGGTATGCATGTAGCATTTATTTCTCTAAAGAGAATTACCATAATTAAAGTCATGCAGTCATAATGTCCATAAGATAATGTCTATAATGTGATCTCCGTAATGTAATGTGTGTAACATAATTATCATAACATAAAGTGGACTTTATTTTTCCTTGTGTTTTCCAGGATTTTGGTAATTTACAACACTCAAGTTTAGGCCCCTATAGAAAGTAAAAAAGGAGCCAAGCAGACCAATTTCAATTTCAGAGAAAACAAAAAAAGGACTGTTTTTGTTACGGACATTATGTAATGTCCATAACAAAATAATGTTACTTGCTCTCATTTACAAAGTACACCCATTTTGGAAAAAATTCTACCTGCAAGTTCTTCTTTGTGTTGAGTTCTCTTAATTTTGTTCCTCTGGAGAGATTTGATGAATACATGTGTCTTACTTAAATCACTTTAAACCTTTCAGTGTGCCAGCTATTTTCAAACACTTTTCATTGGACAAAAATAAACAGCCTCTCTTGGCCATTTCCATAAAGTCATCTTCCAGATTACTATTTTTAAACAATTTAGGGTCTCCTTATCCCAAAAATTTATGATTGGGCTAGATATGAAATATTTTAAATTTCACTATTTAGGCATTTGTAAAATAGAATAGTTCATGATAGTTTTGGTTATTTTTACCATCTTGTAAAAATTGCTCTTACCATCTGATGAAATATACTTTTACACAAATGTTTTGGCCGTCAATGGCTATATGTAATAGCAATTTATGAATATCTTGAACATTTTGGATTGTTTACATGATCTTTGTGATTCAGCCAGCACTGGGTTAGAATTTGTGCTTCCACATTCATACTACTATCAAAAGTAACCTCTCCACATGAAAAAATAGTTTATGCAAAATCAACATGGTAGCCACTAATTACCAAAGGGTACCTTGAAGGACTTAAGTTAGGTTTAACTTGGCAAAACCTATGATAGACACTTTGCATGCATGTACTAATGCAAGCATAGGGTGATAATTTCTAATCCATATGTACTTTGTCAAGGATGGAACCAGATCTCTGCATAAGATCTTCCATATTCCTGTTTTAGGAGGGCACTTAAATTTTGATTTTATACGAATTAATAAGTCTTAACCAGTGACCCAAAATTGAGTCTCTTAAATGTTAATATTCATAAGTCAACCTACAGTTGAAGCACTTCACAAACCCAGCTGTACTCAGTAATTAAACCAGCAGTAAATCAGAAGGACCACCAGAATTTCGGCAACATTTTCTAAGAGTATTTCCACTTGTTTGTAGCCAAACATAATCACAACCATCGATCACAACATAATTAAATAGGTAATTGATATAATGCATAGTTCTTGACATAACTTTACCAGGCAAAATAATTAATACTCGCATGGATATAAAAGAAATGAGAGCATGTAGAATTCTAAACATATGCAAACAGGACACAATTAATCCCAGCAAATAAATTATTAACTCTTACTATCCCATTAAGAGCAATTGCTCTTTACAATTCAGTATAATTGAGCATGTGCTCTAAATAATGTTTCTGCTGTCTTCTGGTTCTTGTTTACTGAGACACAAGGCAGATCTCTCGTGTGACACCAAGTTTTACATTGGAAGAGCCCTTAGGGTTACTGATGATGAGGTTGAAATCAAATTTCTTCACCGAGTTGTGGAAACATTTAACTGGCCTCTGAGAAGCAATACTGATATTGTCAACTGGAGAAGAGTCTTCTATGGCTCTAAAGAGCTGAAAGGCACTAGATGTTTCAATGTTCCAAGTCTTTCATATATTGAGAGGCTTTTTAAATATCTTCAAAAAGAAAATGTTTGCAAATAAATAATCAAACTAACTGCAGATTGCAGTAGTTAAACACTGCTTTAATTACTAAACTTGGATTGTTCTGAACTTTTTGTAAGAGTACTATTCATTGACTCTTAATAAGCCAGTTGATACTTAATTTTGGAAAGTTACACTGCACTGAACTGTATGAATTAACAATTTTCTCTATAGTATTAGTACAATGGCCTTTGAAAGTTGAAGTATTACTTGTTCTAAGCTAAATTTCTGAAACATTGCATGTTATATTTCAATTTATTATCTTCAGATACAGAAGGTACTGACTCTAAATACAATATGTTTTTCAGTAAACTTAATTCACACTCAGACTCAAAATATTTGAAAATTTATACTCCTCATGTCAGCATTGTGTTGCTACTGCTAATGTACAGTTATTGTTATAGTTATTGTTATTAGTGTTTAGTTAAAAACACTGCAAACTTGGTTGTGATAAATTTGAACAAAATTGGTATGCATGTAGCATTTATTTCTCCCAAAAGATTATTGCCATTATGAAAGTCATTGTCCATAATATAATGTAAGATGTGATGTCCATAATGTAATGTCTGTAACGTAATGTCCATAACATTAAGTATAGATTTACTTTTTTCTTGTATTTTTCCATGATTTTGATACTTTACAACACTCAAGTTTAGGCCCCTAAAAAAGTAAACAAGGAGTCAAGCTGACAAAAAAAAAAAACTGGTTTTTAATTTCAGAGAAAACGAAACAAAACACTGTTTTTGTTATGGACATACCAAAATAATGTTACTTGCTCTTATTTATGAAGTACATCCATTTTAGAAAAAGTCTTATCCACAACTTCTTCTTTGTGTTGAGTTCTGTTAGTTTTGTTCCTCTGGTGAGACTTAAGGAATACATGTGTCCTACTGAAATCATTTTAAACCTTTCAGCATGCCAGCTATTTTCATTGGAAAAAAATAAACAGCCTCTCTTAGCCATTTTCCACAAAGTCAACGTCCAGATTACTATATTTTAAACAATCTAGGGTCTCCTTATTCCAAAAATCCATGATTGGGCTAGATATGAAATATTTTAAATTTCATCATTTAAGCAGTTGTAAAATGGTATGGGACATGATGGTTTTCATTATTTTTACCATCCCCTAAAAATCCCTCTGGCCATCCAATGAAATATACTTTTACACAAACATTTTGGCTGTTGACAGCTATATGTAATGGTGATTTATGAATATCTAGAACATGTTGAATTGTTTACACAATCGTCACAATTTGTCCAGCATTGAGTAAGATTTTGTGCTTTAACATGCTACAAACATCATCAAAAGTAACCTCCACATGAAAAAAAAGTAATTGAAGTGTCTGCTTTAAATCCTAATGCAACTCATTCACAGCCACATGTTCCAACTTTGTTTTTGCTAATCAGGAAGTTGATAATTATAACCACAAATATTTTTAAGTAGAAGCATGTTGTGAGCTTGCTATCGCCCTTCTCCCAAATTCATATGGAGGGTCACAAATACAGAACCTTGCATTAGAGCGAGCAGTTGCATCCTATATTGGTCATTACACCTGTAACCACCAAAGCAACTTTTTAATCATTAGATGCATTTCAGCTGCCAGGTGCAACATAATAAGAAATGGTGTCAAACACTAGTGAAGGATGACAACATTCAATTTATACTCCTGAGCATGAATTCAAAGGATTGAACCACTGGGTAAAGATTGATGCAAATTTAATTAGTGACCCATCTTGCTACTTTAACACTATGTTTCATATTCAAAGCAAAATGATATTCATGAAAAAAAGAGAATAGCACATAACAACATAAACATTTTCATTCCCATGAGAATAAGACAAAAATCCTTACATATATGTATCATATTTAAAGAGGGAAAAATGAAAAAAAAACATATGTACCTACCATGTTAAGATTTCCTGCCTTCAAAAAATCACAATATGAGCAGTCAGAAAATGATGGACATGTAATAATTTCTGAAAAATAAAAACATAAAATAAATATTAATCAAATGTGAGAGATATTGACCGTCACAAAAATTCCATTTAAGGTGCTATATTTATTCCTTTAACTCCCATGACTGACCAACACCAAATTTCTCCTTACAATATAAATACATTATCAACCAAATAAGTGACAAGAATTAAGAAAAATATTAATTCAGGGATAATTAGTTGATCCAATAATAAATTCTCTGAACTAACATTACAAGAGTTGTATAACTGACAGTAAGGAGAATAACAAATTGGATCTGGGAGTTAAAGGGTTAAGGCAGTAATTGTTGCTATTGAAAAGTGTAATGAACTGAAGAAGCTCTAGGACAATCTGAAAGACATAGACGACATAAGGCTGTTTCACTCAGTCATGCTGAAAAGGGGTTGTTAGAAAATAATTGCAGCCAAGAGGAATCCTACAATGGTAAACCCTTCAGATATTTCAATTCATGGATACTGCATGTGTTTGCTGTTTTTAGAACACAGCAGGTTGAACTGGGAACTGAGGAAATCTAATATGTAAATATGTCATTCAACAAATTGCCAAGGAAAACTTCAATAGTTTTTGGGAAACTTAGCTTTGAATTGGCTGTTGCATAATTTAACATCTGCAGACTATTCAGTGGTTCCTGTTACTAGTAAAGTAAAGCTATATGCTGAGGCACAAAGAAAGATTGCTTTGGGATTAGAGTTCAAATGCTCAATAGCCCCTTCAGTGCACACTGAACCTCATTCGCCATTTTCTTTCCATTCCACTCTCCTCAGTCGTTATTTGTTATGGAAATATTCCTATCTTTTGGGATTTCTGTATATGAAAGCCTCTCTGTTAATATTATGTTTTAGCACTATTAGATTTATCAGCTTATATGCATCAAATAAGAGTCACATTTTGTGGAAAATAAGTTAATCATATAAAGACTGCATGATTTGTCCCAAACATTACTTGTGGTCAAATGTCCTATGGTTTATCAGATTGAATTGAAAGGCACAATAATTTTGTTGAAAAAATATCATCGATAAATAATGCCTAACTCGAGTTCTCGGAAAACATCTCATTGAATTAGAGAAGGCAAGTCGTTTTCTAGCACTGGAAAATGAACTGTGAGTAAAGGCTTTCGCTTTCAGTTTCCTGTCGCCTTCGAAAATAGCAACTTCCGCCTAGACTGATACGTATTGCGTGTTCCAATCTTCAATAAAGCATTTCCCTGTCCCTTTAATCTAGATCAGAAACGACTGCTGGAAGTAAAACGGCTGGTCTGAGTCCAAAACAGACCCTTACTAAAGTATGAAATTCAAATAAAGTGACCTTTTAGTGCGCATCAATTCATAATTCATGAATCTACTTACCTCTCAGAATGGTGATTTAAACGAAATAATTACACCCGGGGTACGTGAAGAGGTTACGCAATCGTCCTGAAAAGAGAAAAAAAGTAGCTTATGTATCAAGTATATATTCACTATACGCTTATTTTCAAAGGATTATGTTAAAATTTTCGTAATCATACGCATTTACGCGAGTGAAATACCGTAAGTCAACAACGGGTTATTGAAGTTAAAGTTAAAGTTACGGACTGAATAACTTTACTATTTTGTCTGTACCTGCTCTTTCTTCGCGTCAACTCTTCTCATGGACAGCAATGTGAGTCTAAACCGATCGGTTTCCTTGTTTCCTGATCTTCCGTCGAGAGAACGAAGAAAGTCACAAAAGCTAGATATTCTAACAATCTCAGAGAAGGGAGTTGTTCATGACATGCGCAGATAACATTATTTGCAAATGAAACATAACACCTAAAATCGAGTAACACTATCACGCAATGAAACTAACTTTGCAATGCATTTCTCGGCCTCAGAAAGAAACATCGTTAAAAAAAAATTGCAACGGTATTCTTTAAAGGTTCACATGAACAATAAGCAACCTTTATTTCTCCTAAAGCTGGAGACGAGTTTTCGTTAGAGTTGCTTCCACACAACAACGCGTGATTCACTTCCTACCACCTCTTACTACAGGTCACGCATCTTAACGAGGCACGCACGGCAGATTTCAAATAGCATTTTATTGCCAAAACGACTGACGAGTGATGCGTTCGTCGTCTTATGTTTTAAAAATTTTTAAAGGCCGGAATCTGCCCCTTCCCTCCCTCCCTTTAAAAACACGGCCAGAAACTCTTAACTTCGACTCTCGTAGTTGCCACTTAATCCCAATCAAAACCTCCCTCCTTCTGATTACTAATAGTTGGAGTCTGATCACCAAAGCTAAACTGTAAACCAATCCTTTGAGTCTGTTCCTTTGACGTCTCCATCATCGACCCGTCCAAAGACTGGCTAGGCGAGAAGGACTGACCTAGATGGACCTGATCAGAATATTGTACGCAATCAACACATGGACAGAGAGTCGGATTGCCCTGCAGGGTAAAGAAAGGAACTCTGCGACTGATTTTAAACTACAGGATAAATGCTCTCAAATATATTTTTAAGCTGACGCCTACAAAGGAAAAGTATGAAGTTTTCAAAATAAATACTTCATAAAGCTCTACTAAAGAATTATTGACCTTATTCCTATAACTTGCAATTTATCTGTGCAAGCTTTAATAGTGAAGATAAAATCTGAATTGAACCCTGAGTCAAACACTCAGAAAGACTAGCTTCATGTGGTAAGGTGCCGCTCATTATTTATCGCCTATGGGGGGGCTGGAGGATTTTGGTTGTGTCACGACTTAATTTACCTGCTTCCCCCATAATATACTTATGATTCCTTATTGACAGTCAATTGGCGGTCAGTTTTCTATAGTCCCCCTTAAAACTCTGATAGCGACAACTGACCAGCCTCCGTTCATTGAAAACCATGTAAATCCCATCCCCCATCCCCCTTCCCCCTCCAAAAATAAAAAAAAAAAAAAAAGAAGGAAGATGAATCGTCCCTCCCCCGGTGATAAATAAAGTGTCTGGTCTCTAAAACTCTTCACATAACTAAATTTTGGTAGTCTGATGCTTATTTATTCCAAATTGAACTCGAATCATATGATTACCTCTACAAATTCAATTTTGTTAGCGTCTAGTTGACTTTGATTGCCTCAGCAATAGATGTAGCGCCGGCTTCACTTACACCATTGTCAGACAAATCCAAATTGGTTTAGCGTCTCGTTGACTTTGATGGCCTCAGCAATAGATGTAGCACCAGCACCACCAATACCATTGTAATACAAATTCAAATTGGTCAGACTCAAACAAGTTCCAAAAGACTTTGCTAACCGTGAGTGAAAATCACTCAGTGTCTTTTACATTCGTTAATGGCCTCTAATACAACTTTTCAACCACTGCCTTCATTTTCGTTCATTTGCTAAACTCTTTACGAGAGCCACGACTTGTTCATCGCATTTCATGGCTAAAATTCCGCACGAAAACAAAAGTACCTCTTCAAGTTTAACAAAGTACCCTGGATCGGAAACTAGTTCGTCAGGTCTAATTTCCTTGCTTTGAATCTGAGCACAAATGAAGAATACTGCAAAGAATTCTTGAAAAAATTTACGCAAGAAATCCAAATTCAGTCAACTCTTTTGCGTGGTTTCCCATCTGAGTTTCATTAAAATCCAATTTGTCGTTAAGTAAACCATTTAACGCTACCAACCCGAGGCGATTCAATTGCGGTTTGTAAAGATCTGTCCGGTATTCCCTTCTTTTTTCTATATCTTCTCAAGACACATTCAACCATATCCAAGTACAGTTGAGCTAAAGCGTGCCTGCCCTTAAAGTACTTGGTGACAAATCCTCTCACATGGTGTTTTGTAAATCCTTAGATTTGAAGCAGCGCGTCACAGCATTTTCTCACCTCTTTTACAGCTTCGTGTCAAGCTGTTGCAACTATGTGGCATCTGGGGAGTAATCTTCCATCAATTTATTCGGAAAAATCGACAATTTACTGAATGGTAACCCATCCAATCCATCCAATATCAATAAAATGATATTGTTGTTTGACTTCTTCATCGATGTCTCGGGGCAGAAGCTGCTCATCAATGACTTACCAAACATCAGAATGGATGTCTGGGCATTTAAGCAACAATACTGCTTTGAATGCTGTGGAGCCGCAGCCCTGAGGTGCTTGCCTTTTGGTGGCCTAGTCGTAGGCGTACTTTTTACAGTAGGTGGTTTTTCTCGTACCAGGTTCTCCTTCTCGGCGCTGAACACTCTTCATACGGGTCTAGTATTGACGACATCTCAACAAATACGTCAGTGATTTCTCCTCTCGTTTTCTTTCTTCTGACCACTTTGAGCCATGTAAAAATATTGCCAAGAAAGAACTGAAACTCTTCACACCATGGAAATGGTGAGAGCCATCCTCGCGAGTCTTGTACAGCTGGCGAATTCCATTGATAAGCTCAGTTGGATCAAAAATACCTAGCAGTAGTAAAATGAGTAAGAAATCTAATGAATGCAGCATTACGAGTAAGAATCACATATCAGTAATCATATGCTTGCAATATGCAGGAAGTTTACCTCCATGGACATAGTTAATCGAGCTGGCTTGCCACAAGTCTACTGTATGTAAGTGTTAGAGTGTCTGAAGTAATGAACGGAAGGTGGTAAGTTTGAGTCCCAACAGAATAAAAGTCGTACGCACTCACTAACCATTTCTAGTGTTCTTATTGGTTCTCTCAATTTAGGTTATATGAAAATGATTTATCTTAGTGTCGCTCAGCTAAATCTATTTTTGGCTGGAAGCAATTACTTCTTTTTATACATTGGAAATTAACCAAAGCAAATGCTAGTCAACGTCATATTGGTAACAAAAAGTGAAAGTTAAAAAGGTTAATGTAACTTGATTAAATGGGACTTAAATTTTAAGTTTAACTTACAGCACTAGCCTCAGGTCAACGCTTTATGGTCAAGAAAAGGTATAACGTTGTCACAACAGAAAGAACAACCGGTTACCTAAAAAATTCCATTATAGGAATTACAGAATTTGTGTCGAAATATCTACGCTTTAACA